GACCCCTGGTTCTTCAGGGGGGCCTCACCAGCTGAGATACCTTTCCCAAGTTTTATATGCCACACATGGGTGTGGGACCAGCCCATTCTGTAGCTCCATGCCTCCCATTAGTCTTGATGTGGCTTCTTTATATCCTTAGTTGTGGGATTTCTGTTCAGCTAGACTTCAGGTGGTTCTTAGTGATGCTCGTTCGGTAGTTTAGTTGTAGTTTCAATGTGATCGTGGGAAAATTCAAGTAACACATTTATATATGCTGCCATCTTGACCTGAAGCCCCGGAGGTGAGCATTTTAAAATAGGTTTCATAGCTCTGACCAATCTTGCTCAGCGGTTAGAGCATCTGCCTTCAAACCAAAGGGTCATGGGTTTGATCTTGGCCAAGGGCACATACCTTGGTTGTGGTTCAATCCCTGGCCCTGGTTGGGGTCGTGCAGGAGGCAACCAATCGATGTGTCTCTCTCCCGTTGATGTTTCTCTCTCTCTCCCCCTCTCTTTCTCTATCTGAAAATCAATGGAAGAATATCCTCAAGTGAGGATTAAAAAAAAAATAATAATAATAAACAAAAATTGGTTTCATAGTCATTAATATTTTCCATTCTATTCTGTTCGTCCATTCTATGAACTGACCGTGCATGTCATTTTTTTTTTTAATCCTCACCCGAGGACATTTTTTGATATTTTGTTCAGATAGAGTGAGAGGGAGGGAGAGAGAGAGAGAGAGAGAGAGAGAGAGAGAGAAACATCGACATGAAAGCGACACATCGAGTGGTTGCCACCCACACGACCCAACCAGGGCCGGGGACAAACTGCAACCAAGGTATGTACCCTTAGCGGGAACCGAACCCGGGTCTCTCCGGACCGCAGGCCGATGCTCTAACCGCTGAGCCAAACCGGCCAGGGCTCATTTTCTAAAATCGTTCTTAGCTTATATTTTTAAAGGATTTGAATAAGTTCTCGTGATATTAGGAAATACAATCATCAGCTGTAATATAATTATGAATATCTTTTCCCAGTTTATTAGTGTCTTCTAACTTAGTTTGGCTTGGATTTGCCTCCACGTTTTATTTCATGCAGTTGATGTTATAAGTCTTTGTTCAAACCTCTTTTTGGAAACTCGGAAACATCCTTCTTTACCACCATGGACAGCGCCAGCTCCAAATTCTGGGGCTGGCAGATAAAAGCGAGCCCCCCCCCCCCCCCACTTCCCGCGCCAACCCTGACAAAACCTTGATGGGAGACTTGGCAGAGGCTTGGGGACAGACGACGAACTGGTTAAGGCCCTTTTCAGGCATCTTGCTGATACCGAAGGGGTCAGTCCCTAGTGGGGACTCAAGCACTGAGCCAAGAATGTTCTTAACTTTACACAGGAAAGAAGTGAATACGCGAGCCAGAGTACAGTTTAAAGTGGAAACAAGCCCTGGATGGTTTGGCTCAGCGGTTAGAGCGTCGGCCTGCGGTCCAGAGAGACCCGGGTTCAGTTCCCGCTGAGGGCATGTACCTCGGTTGCAGTTTGTCCCCGGCCCTGGTTGGTCGTGCGGGTGGCAGCCACTCGATGTGTCCCTTTCACATCGATGTTTCTCTCTCTCTCTCTCTCTCTCTCTCTCTCTCTCTCTCTCTCTCTCTCTCTCCCCCTCCCTCCCTCCCTCCTTCCCTCCGGAGCAGAGAGCATAAGCAAGAAAAGCCACTCCCCAGACAGAGTGCAGGACTTTCTTCATAAGAGAAGGAAGAGAGACCCCAAAGTTCTCTAGAGTTTAAGCTTATATCTATTTGAAGTTTCTATGGAAAATTGCTGGGACAGGGAAATAGAATGGGGGGAAAAAGTTGGTATTAACTTTAAACTTTACAAAGTGTATTTTGTGGTCCGTTTCCCCTTTATGGTATTAGTAAACGATGAGGTATGGGTGAGTAGCTATTAATCAATCTTTGAAAGAATTTTCTTTGGTCCGGCTGGTGTGGCTCAGTGGTTGAGCGTTGACCCATGCACCAAGAGGTTGCTGGTTTGATTCCTGGTCAGGGCACATGCCCAGTTTGTGAGCCTGATCCCCCAGTGGGGGACATGCAGAAGAAGGCCAATCTATGTCCTCTCTCATCTATGTTTCTAGCTCTCTCTCCCTCTCTCTCTAAAATCAATAAAGAAAAAAAAACATTTGAAGAATTTTCTTTCTTTCGGAGGCTACTTGTGGCCTGCTTGCATCTCTGGTCAGCTGAATTCCGGGTCAGGCAGCACATAACAAGCCCCTGAGTTAACTCCGTTTGATTTTAGTATATTTATATAGTTCTCATGTCCCTGTCTTCTATTATTGCCACCCGAAGAGATAGGGCCCTATATTCAGCCAGAGAGGTGCTCACATAGCCTTGGTTTCTTGCAGCTCAGGGCAGACTCCATCCCAATATTTTCAGAAATGTTTCCCTGTCTGGGGTAAACCCCCATCCCTTCTTCCTGTACTTCTTATAGACAGGATGCTGACTCTCTTTCTCTTTCTCCCTCTCTTTCTCCCTTACCCCTGCCCCTCCTTTTCTCTTCTCTTTTTCTTGCTCAGTCTCTGGCTGGTACCTACATAGAGCTCTGGAAGACAGAGTACAAATGCACATGGTCCCTTACTGTCTATAGAGCTCTGTGCTGAATCCTGAAAGATTTTTTTTTATCCTAACCCGAGGACATTTTTCCATTTTTTGTTCAGATAGAGCGGGAGGGAGAGAGAGGAAGAGAGAGAGAGAGAAACATCGACGTGAAGGGACACATCGAGTGGCTGCCACCCGCACGACCAACCAGGGCCGGGGACAAACTGCAACCGAGGTACATGCCCTTAGCGGGAACCGAACCGGGGTCTCTCTGTACCGCAGGCCGACGCTCCAACCGCTGAGCCAAACCGGCCAGGGCTGAAAGATTTTTTTTTTAATTAAAAAAATTTAATGGATTTTTAGAAAGAAGAAAGGAGAGAGAGGGAGAGAAAGAGAAAGACAGAGACAGAGAGACAGAAAGAAACATTGATGTGAGAGGGAAACATCGATCGGTTGCCTCCTGTATGCATTTCAACTGGGGACTGAACCCATAACCTAGGTATGTGCCCTGACCGGGAATCAAACCTGCGACCTTTTGGTGCACAGAATGATGCTTGAACCAACTGAGGCACACCAGCCAGGGCCTGAAAGATATTTTTAAAAATATGCCTCAGACCTTGGTGCGTTTGGCTAAGCGGTAGAGCATTGGCCCATGGACTAATGAGTCGCAGGTTCGATTCCGGCCATGGGCAAGTACCTCGGTTGCAGTTCCGTCCCCAGCCCTGGTCGGGGTCGTGCAGGGGGCAGCCAGTCAGTGTGTCCCTCTCATGTGGATGTTTCTCTCTCTCTCTCCCCCTTTCTCTGCCTCCCACTCTATCTGAAGATAAATAGAAAAAATATTCTCGGGTGAGGATTTAAAAAACAAAAACAAAACCTCAGTGTCTGTGGGATAACGAAGGAAGAAACGAACGAGGAGGCTGACAGAGGCCTTGGCGCAGAGGTGATGGAGACATCCCCGTGTAGGCACAGGAGGGAACTTGCTTAGACTGAAGACCTCAAGGTGTAAGCTGAGACATAGATGCTGCCTTTGGAAGCCCTGGAGGCTGCATGAGGGAGACACATAAAGGGAGGGAGATTAGGCAGTTGCTCACGGAGGAGAGGAATGGTGGAAGCTGGAGGGGCTGCAGAGAAGACGGGGAGGGATGTTTTGTGCTGAGCTCACCGGAACTCCAAGGAGGGGCCAAGACCCGGTCATCAGTTGTCTCCCCTCAACCCAAACTGCTTACCCAAGTCTGGTGCTAGAGTGCGCCTTCCAGGCTCAGTCCTAGACTCTGTCCATCGGGTCTCTAGGGAGATGGAGTCAAGAGCGGCGGTACATGTACACAATGGAGTACTACGCAGCTGTAAGAAAGAAAGATCTCTGATCCTTTGGGACGACGTGGAGGGACCTGGAAAGTGTCATCCTAAGAGAAACAAGCCAAACAGAGAAAGACAAGTATCGTATGACCTCACTTATTTGTGGAATATAATACACATAACAGTCTGAGGAATGGGGTAGTCCCAGAGACATGGAAGTGGGGTACAGACTGACCATCCCCAGAAGAGGGGGTGGTGGGGGAGAGATAAACCACAGAACTTATATGCATGTATGCATGAACAATGGACATGGACAACAAACTGGGGAAAGGGCAGGGAGGGAGGAGGAGGGGGGAATCAGTGGGGGAAAAGGAGGAACATCTGTAACTAAAATAAATTAATTAATTTAAAAGAAAAGTTCACCCCATGCTTCTTGAAGCATCTGGGGTGCTCCAGCCCTGGAAAGGGTTCTACGCTGAGGGGATTTGGTCCCAGGAAAGTCTTGGAATCCTACTCTTTTGTCCCCCTGAGAGAAAATGGACTCTCAAACACCACATCGCTGTTGAGAGAGGCGGGCGTTGGACTTCAGGAGGTGAGAGGCAGCATTTCAGGGGATGGGAGGAGGGAAGGGCCCATGCTGCCATGGTCTCCAGGGAAGGAGAGCCCAGCTTTCATTTCCCCCGCAGTGTCCCAAGGGAGAGGGGGGTGTTCCTGCTGAAGGGAGAAGTCGGGGGCACAAACCCTACGTTCCATCCCAGAAAGAGTCTCCGGTTGTCTTAGCCAGCCGTTGCCGCCACCTCCAGGCTGAGAATGAGATGGTACCAAGGGGATCTAGACTATTCCTTTGCAGCCCTGAGGGGTTGATGCTGCAGAAGCCACAGCTGTGAGGGAAAGAGAGGTCTGAGGGCAAAAGGGGTCACTCCCTCTGAGCCTCGGGGTGCACTTGCCACAAGTGGAAATAGGACTGGACCTCAGAGAGTCCGTCACAGTGGATTCTCTGTGGATCTGAAGTTTCCTCTTCTGGGCTTGTGATATTATGGTCTCACCACAGGCTTCCTGTTTGAGCGTTGTCCGCCCTCCGTAATCAGAATCTTTCCACTCTCTCTCAGGGGGGTCCCAGGGGCCAGACTGCACGGGGCATGAGGAAGTGATGTCGCCCAGGCTGCTGCTGCTGCTGCCACCCATGCTGTGGGGAGGTGAGTGGGCTGAGGGGAGAGGGAAGCCCACCCAGGGGAGACCCTGGAGCTCCAGGCTGAATTTCTCTTTCTCCTTAGGGTTGCTGGCTCAGGGTTCAAGAAGGTCCCCGCGGCGGGCGCCTGTGACGGTGCAGGAGGGCCTGTGTGTCTTCATACCGTGCAAATTATCCTACTACCCAGCTTTCTCTTCATACCTGTTTTTGTTCAAGAAAGTAGTGGATATAAAGCATGGTCTTCCAGTGGCCACAAACAAACCAAATCAGGAGGTGCAGGAGAGGACCAAGGGCAGGTTCTTCTTTGTGGACTCCGATGTCAGCAACTGCTCCCTGACCATCAGAGATGTCAACATGAGGGACAACGGAATGTATTTTTTGTACACACAAGTGTTCAGTTCCCTCAAATATGCATCTGAGAACTTCTCTCTGAAAGTGGAAGGTATGGTAGGGGCCCAAGGAAAGGACCCAGGGTGTGGAGTACCAAAAATAGAAAAATGAAGGCCCCGCCCTGGCCGATTTGGCTCAGCGGTTAGAGCGTCCGCCTGTGGTCCGGAGAGACCCGGGTTCGGTTCCCGCTAAGGGCACGTACTTCGGTTGCAGTTTGTCCCCGGCCCTGGTTGGTCGTGCGGGTGGCAGCCACTCGATGTGTCCCTTTCACATCGATATTTCTCTCTCTCTCTCTTCCTCTCTCTCCCTCCCACTCTGTCTGTACAAAAAATGGAAAAATGTCCTCGGAAGAGGATAAAAAAAAAAAAAAATGAAGGCCCCTGGGGGGTGGAAGGAAGACAGTCATAATGAGACACTGGGGCAGGCTGACAACACGCTGGGGGGCCCTAACCTTTTCTCTGTCTCTCTCTCTCTTTTAAATCTTCATTTGAGGATGTTTTCCCATTGATGTTTTTTCAGATAGAGTGGGAGGGAGGGAGGGAAAGGGAGAGAGAGAGAGAGAGAGAGACCGATGTGAGAGGGACACATCAATTGGTTACCTCCTGCATGATGACTACTGGGGCCGGGATCAAACCTGAAACTGAGGTACGTACCCTTGACCAAAAATCGAACCTGTGACTCTTTGGTTCTCGGGTCAACACTTTAACTGCTGAGCCAAACCAGCCCGGGCCCTTCTCTCTCTTTACTCCAGCCCTGACCCAGACACCTGACATCTTCATCCCGGGGACCCTGGAGTCCGGCCGCCCCAGGAACCTGACCTGCTCTGCGCCCTGGGCCTGTGAGCAGAACACACCCCCCATCTTCTCCTGGACGTCAGCTGCTCACACCTCCCTGGGCCCCAGGTCTCATCATCTATCCTCCATGCTCACCCTCACCCCACGACCCCAGGACCACGGCACCAACCTTGCCTGTCAGGTGCATTTTCCTGCATCTGGTGTGACTGTGGAGACAACCATCCAGCTCAATGTCACCTGTGAGTGCTGGGCTAGGATGCCCGGGTTCCTGAGGGGCTGGGGCCAGGGCAGAGCTGGACCAGGGCTTGAGATTGGGGTCCTCATAGTCCACTAGGGAGGGAACCCTCTTACCTATTTCCATGGCTTTGTGGGGGAAAGGCCCAGTGCCCACCCCTCTGTCACCAAGGATGCTGAGGCTGCCACACCCCTTCTGTCTCAGATGCCCCACAGAACATGGCCATCAGCGTTTTCCAAGGAAACAGCACAGGTAGGAAAGACCTTCTTCTCTCCAGGGCCGGGATGGACACAGGGTCTAGGTCAGAGCTCCAGTGGGCCGAGGACTAAGTGGGATATATAGAGGAAGCCAGCTACTGAGGTCAGACTGAAAGCCCCTCTCCTAACCTCAACTCAGCTCTCTGTGGCCAAAGCCAAAGGAAGCCCGCATCACCCTTCTCTCTAAATTTCTGCCTCCTCCGGCTTCTGTTATCTCCTGTTGGCCCATAACTGCTTTGTTTTTCATATCTTGAGCCCTCTGTGCTCCATCTGCCAGACAGCCTGGGTGGCTCCAGAGAAATCCTTTGGGCCTTTTCTGAAGACCTGAGGCCAGGACACTGTTGGTCCCCTCCTCAGAGCTACTGTGGGCATTGCAGGAGAGACCCCAGCTTTGCCCACCCCATCATTCTCATATTCTCTCTCTCTCTCTCTCTCTCTGCACTTCTCTCCCCAAAGCCCTCAAGATTCTGCAAAACACATCACTTCCCATCCCAGAAGGGGAGGCTCTGAGGCTGCTCTGTGTGGCTGAGAGCAACCCGCCTGCACAGTTGAGCTGGGTCCGAGGGTCCCCAGCCCTGAACCCCACCCCCGTCTCCAGCACCGCGATGCTAGAGCTGCCTCGTGGCCTGGGGACTGCGGAAGGAGAATTCACCTGCCAAGCTCAGCACCCACTGGGCTCCCGGAGTCTCTCCCTCAGCCTCTTGGTGTTCTGTGAGTGGGGGGATGGGGCACCTGGGAGCAGGACACCGGGGTCCTGGGATGGCAGAGGCACCGCTGACCCTTCCCCTCGTGCCCCACAGACCCCCCACAGCTGCTGGGACCCTCCTGCTCCTGGGAGGACCAGGGTCTGCTCTGCAACTGCTCCTCCCGGGCCCAGCCGGCCCCCTCCGTGCGCTGGCGGCTGTGGGAGGGGCTGCTGGAGGGGAACCACAGCAATGCCTCCTACACCGTCACCTCCCGCTCAGCCGGGCCCTGGGCCAACAGCTCCCTGAGCCTCAGCGGGGAGCTCAGCGCGGGCCTCAGGATCAGCTGCGAGGCCAGGAATGTCCACGGGGCCCCGAGCGCCGCCGTCCTGCTGCTGCCAGGTCAGGGCCTGTGGGGCAGAGGCCTGGGGAGACGGGTGGATCAGAGAGAAGATGCAGCTGGGGGCAGGGGCTGGACCGGACGCGGGTCATGGCTAGGACAGAACCTACAGCCGGTTCTGCAAGGAGGTGGGAAGAGGAGAGACTGAGTCCTGTCAGTGGGTGGCCTCATGACGAGCTGGTTCCTGGCGGAAGAAGCCCTGAGCTCCTTGGGGCTCTCAGCTCCCAGGGTCCCGGAGCTCCTGGGATACAAATGGGGCATGCAGGCGGATTCATTTGCTGAGCTCAGAACCAGCTAGGCTGCCTCCCGGTCTTGCTAAACCTCTCTGTGCACTATAAGTGGGCTATGAGTGGGCAGGACACCAGCCTGCCACTGACCCTTCTCCTTGTTCCCCACAGACCCCCCTTCCACCGCTGCTGGGACCCTCCTGCTCCTGGGAGGGGGAGGGTCTGCAGTGCTGCTGCTACCCCCGGCCTCAGCCGGCCCCCTCCGTGCGCTGGTGGCTGAGGGAGGGGCTGCTGGAGGGAAACCATGGGCAAGGTCACCTTCTGCTCATTGGGGGACCTGGGCCAACAGCCCCCTGAGCCTCAAGGTGGCACTTCCTCCACTGTTCACGAGGCCCAGAAAGCCACTGTCCTGCTGCTGCTGGGTCTGTTGTGGGGGGTGCCTGGGGGAAGAGGGGCCTGGACTCTTGTAGTAGGCTCCTGGCTGCACTAAAAATATACCTCCTGGGAGGCTTAATCAGGGAGATTTATCGTCTCACAGTTGTGGAGGCTGGAAGACCAAGCCAAGGTGTCAGCAGGGTCGATTCCTTCTGAGGCTGTGGGTGTGTTGCTGGCCTCCCCTAGCTTCTGGGGGTTTGCTGGCGATCTTTGGTGATCCTCTGCTTGTACAGGCATCACTCCAACCTCTGCTTTCGTGTTCCTGGGGTGTTCTCACTGTGTGTGTCTATGTGCAAATGACACTTTTTTTTTTAATTAAAAAAAATTTTTTTTTTTATCCTCACCCGAGGACACTTTTTGCATTTATCTTCAGATAGAGCAGGAGGGAAAGAGAGAGTGAGAAACATCGATGTGAGAGAGACACATGGACTGGTTGCCAGCCACACGACCCCAACCAGGGTCAGGGACAAATTGCAACCAAGGTACATGCCCTTAGCGGGAACTGAACCCTGGACTCTCCGGTCCACAAGCCAACACTCTAACCGCTGAGCTAAACCAGCCAGGGCATGAATTCCACATTTTTATGAGTATACCAGGCATTTTGGATTAAGGGCCAACTCTAGTGATCTCATTGTAACTATTACCTCTGCAAAGACCCTATCTCCAAATAAGGTCACATTCTGAGATATGGTGGTACGAAGGGTTAGGACTGCAACATACAAATTTTGGAGACACACAATTCAAGCCATAACAGCCCTTGAGAGATGGTAGCTTGGAGAAGAGGCATTTTTTTTTTATCCTCACCAGAGGATATTTTTCCATTTTTTGTACAGATAGAGTGGGAGGGAGAGAGAGGAAGGGAGAGAGAGAGAGAAACATCGACATGAAGGGACACATCGAGTGGCTGCCACCCGCACGACCAACCAGGGCCGGGGACAAACTGCAACCGAAGTACGTGCCCTTAGCGGGAACCGAACCCGGGTCTCTCCGGACCGCAGGCCGACGCTCTAACCGCTGAGCCAAACTGGCCAGGGCGGAGAAGAAGCATTTTAAGGCTTGGACTGGAGTGGCTGGGGGTGTAAGAGCCTCAGTCCTGAGTCAGGGGTGGGGAGTGTGGAGGGAAAGGGTTTGGTTCCGGGTCTACAAGGCAAGAGAATGCTGAGCGGCTGGGTCCTGAATGAAGTGGGAACACTACAGAACACACAGGGACAGAAGTAGACAGTTTGAAGGATGCTATGAATTGGGGTTGAACTTTACATAAAACTCAAATTGTCTACAGGTAAACCAGAACCCAGGGCCAAAGGCGTTCTGGGAGTTGTTGGAGGATCTAGCATCATGATCCTGGCCCTGCTTTCTTTCTGCCTTTGTTTAATTTTCAGGTGAGAGTGAGCTCCAGCGACAAAGGGAGAGGTCTAGGGCAGGAGGGGTTAAATTCTGGGCATCTCAGAAAACCTGCGTTAGAGGACCCTGGTTTGGTGGGAAAGCCAGGAGCCAGGGAAGGGAGGTTGAGGGCTAACATGAATTAGCTCATAATCAACTGGGCCAAGTATGGGGTCTTTTTCTGGTCCAGTGCTCGGGTTAGGGGGGACCTGCAGACAGGACTCACCTCCACCCACCTCATTGTGTGCTCTTCATAGGTAGTAGGGATGGTCTGCCCACTCCATGCCCCAAATAACAAGGCTGAAAAGTCCGGGGTTGTTTCCTTAGAGTGAAGATCTGCAAGGAAAAAGCAGCCCAGCTAGTGCAGAGCTTGGACAACGATGTGAACCCAGTCGTGGGCTCAGGCTCCGGGGTGAGTGACGGGACATAGCTCCCATTCAGCGTGATCCCATTTGGATGCTGGCCTCCACAGGGGCCTGTAGACATTTTGATGTTAGATATCCAACACTTTCTGGAATTCCACAAGTGGTTATTTTAAATTACTGATTCAACTACGCTACTGCTACTGCTTCTGGTGGAATATGTATGTCGTCCAGTTGGTTTGTTGGGGTGTATTCAAACCTCATGCGTCAGATTATCATGTATCCTGGATTTTTTTTTTTTTTTTGGTCCATATACAACAAAATGCAAATATCTCAGGTGTACCATTGGATAAGTTTTTATTTTCAATCTGGGTTTTTTCCTTTTTGTTTGTTTATATTATATATTTATTTTTGTTAATCCTCACTGGAGGATATTTTTTCCCATTGATTTTTAGAGAGAGGGGAAGGGAGGGACAGGGAGAGAGAGAAAGAGAAGTGATAGAGACACTGTTGCCTCCCGCACACACCCCGACCTGGGGCCAAGGATCAGACCTGCAACCTAGGTACGTGTTTGTGACTGGGAATTGAACCTATGACCCTTTGGTGCATTGGCCAACACTCTAGCTACTGAGCAACACCAGCCAGAGCATGAGTTTGTTTCTTTTTAAAATTAAGTTTCTAGGGATAACATTGGTTAATAACATTATATAAATTTTAGGTGTGCAACTTTATAATGCAACATCCATATACTCCACCGTGTGTTCACCACCTAAAGTCTCGTCTCCTTTCGTCACTATGTATTTGACCCCCCTTACCCTCTTCATCCTCCCCCCAAGTCCTTTTCCCCTCTGGTAGCTATCATTCTGTTGCCTGTGTCTATGAGTTTGTTTTGTTGGTTGCTTTCTGTTGTATATCCCACATGTGAGTGAAATCATATGGTTTTTGTACTTTTCCATGTAACTTGTTTCACTTAGCGTGATACTATCCAGGTTGTCTCAAATGGCAATATTTTGTCTTTTTTATGGCTGAATACGAGAAAAATTAGCCTTTTCTTCTGATGTTGAACACTGGGAAGAGTAATGACCCAAAAGTAGTTTGTGTCACACCTATTGAGTACAAGGAAGGGGTGGACAGGAGCCTACCCGGGGTAGACCACTGAGGAACCCCCAAGTCACAATTCATCGCTCCCATTTTTCATTTTCCAAACCAATCACCATGTTTATATAATATAAACTTTATTGAGGTATACTTTACATATTCAAAATGAACAATTTAAAGTATACAGTTAGATGACTTTTGACAAATGAATACACCCTGTAACTGTGTCCGTGATCAAGATATGGACCATTTCAGTCATGTCCCCAAGTTCCTAAGTTTTATTTCTCAGTTGACTGCACCGTTCCAGCAATCACCTAGATTAGTTTTGTTCCACTGTGGAACTTCATATAAATGGAACTGTCCAATATTTACTCTACATTATCTCGCTTCTATGACTTCATTAAAAACATATAAAAGTATTAAACATGTATACTCTTAATAACAGAGCATCAATTTAAATAAACCAAAACTGACAGAATTGCAAGGAGAAATAGATACATTCACAATTATTTCAAAAGTCTTCTGTCAGTAGCTGGTAGAGCAACTAGATGAAAAATCTTTCTTTAAATTTTAGTTTGCATAATTTCCTGTATTGTTGTTGCTTGATTGATCTTGGGGAATAAAATCCTTAGTGTGTGCTAAATACTCGTCTTGTCAGGAATCACAGGACATCTTTTCCATTACTTAATTTTCAGTAAACTTTTTTTTTCTTTTTGATAAATGTCTCTTGTAGTCAGCATCACATAGTGGTTCGAAGCATGCACTGTGGAGCTAGATTGCCTGCATTCAAATCCTATCTTTCCCCACTTAGAAGCTGTGTGACCTGGGACAAATGATGAACCCTCTCTGTTCTTTGTTTATTTTCTGTGACATGGAGATATTAAGAATACCTGTACCCTAGAGTATTTATGAGGAGTGCTTCAAATGGTACCTGGTACACCCTAAGCATATTACTCATGCTTACCAGTCAGAAGCATTCTTTCCTCCAGCATGTAAGTCCTAAGGGTGGTTTGATATCATTGTTATAGTTTTATTTCCTGTTGTATACCCAGAGCCTAATGGAGTGCCTATCGCATGACTCACAGTAGGTGCCCAAGGAATATTTCTGGAATATATCATTGTATGACCATATTGCTGGACCTCATTTTCTATGAAAAACTATGTCTCTTTCTTTTTTTTTAAAATCCTCACCTGAGGACATTTTTCAATTTTTTGTTCAGATAGAGTGGGAGGGAGAGAGAGGAAGAGAGAGAGAGAGAAACATCGATGTGAAAGGGACACATCGAGTGGCTGCCACCCGCACGACCAACCAGGGCCAGGGACAAACTGCAACCAAGGTACGTGCCCTTAGCGGGAACCGAACCCGGGTCTCTCTATACCGCAGGCCGACGCTCCAACCGCTGAGCCAAACCGGCCAGGGCTCCCAACCCTCTTTGAGCAGCTTTGAATTCTTTCTCTTCTTTCCATTCAGGTGCATCAGCACCAGTTCCAGACAGACAGCCCTTCAGCTCCCCCAGGCCCTGATGGTGCTAGCCCCGTTGCAAACGAGGAGCAGGAACTCCACTATGCTTTCATCAGATTTCACAATCTGAAGCATCAGGAAGATGCCAACATTGTATACTCAGAGATCAAGACACACAAGTGAAGAATCATTTTCTCACGGTTCGGAAGGCTGGAAGTCTGAAATCAATGTGTCAGCAGGCTTGATTTCTTCTGCAGCTTCTCCCTTTGGCTTGTCTTCTCTCTGTGTCTTCACATAGTCCTCCCTCTGAGTGTCTGTGTCCTAACCCCCTCTTCTTATAAGGGTACTGCATATATTGGATTAAGACCCACCCTAAGACTCACGTTAATTGAAGTATCTCTTTAAAGACCTTACCTGGACACTTAACAGAGCTGCAAGGATAATTTATGAGGTACTGAAGTTAGGACTCCAACTTGTTAATTTTGTGATTTTCAGCCCAGAATCTCAGTGTCTGATTATGTTTAAATTAAAGATTTTCTTGGCAATGGTCTGAATCCCCTAGTACATATAAAGGACCACAGGACTTGTGTCCAAAAGAACTGAGTTCACATCCATCTATACCACTTATTGAGTGAGTCCATTTATTTCTCCGTGCTCTACTTTACTGTTCTGCAAAGCAGGGAAATCATCTCTGTCTAAACTGATTACTGTGAAAGATCAATAAACAGTACATATGAAACAACGAACAAACGTGCCGACACAAAGCTTTTTGTGAACTCTGAACGCGTGCTTGTGTCAGGACATTTGTTAGCTGTTACAACAAAGTTTCTGCTAACATTTCCCTTACAGCCTGAAGGGGCCAGTCCCAGAGGCCACAGCATCAAATGTTTGTGTCACAATCTGCTCAAAAGTCTTCATGAGATTCCCACGTAGAATTTATGCCCTTCATCTTTTTGTTCAAGCTGATCTCACCAACCTCATTTCTTTCCAGCCACCCATATTCCACGCCAATCCCAACAGCTTCCTCTTAGCTCTTCAAGCCTCCACACCTTCAGTGGAACCAACAAAAATCAATAAAGACCAAAGAGGAGGGGAAATTCTTAAGAGTGGTCAGTAAAAAGAAAGAAAAAGAAATAATACATTTAAAAAGACCACAGTTAGACTGACAGCTGATTGTTTTCAGGGGCAATATAGGAAGCCCAAATACAATGGAAGGATACCTTTTATGTCCTGAGAGATATGTTAGTTTAGAAGTCCTACTTAATGAACATTATGTTTTAAGACTGAAGGTGAAGTAAATATATTTATTACAAACAAAAATGTGACCCTTCGTAACCAAAAGACTTCTCAAAGTAAATTCTAAAAGATATAATTTGGGTATTAGTGATCACAGCTTGAAGCTCTCATATGCAAAATGGAATGAAAATGTTATAAAGTGGCCAATATGTGAGCAAAAGGAAACAAATACTTATTGTAAAAAGTAATGATGATGTGTAGAGGGGTCAAACATAAAATATAATATTTAAATATCATACTATAGTAACATAATTCAGGAAAGTGGAGATAGAATTCACATTTGGTGAGGTCTTTATGTTATTCAGGAGAAAATAAAATGTTATGATAGGCTTTAGATTCTGATATTTTGTTGTTGTAATCTCAAGGAAATTTTCTAAAAGAAATGACCCCATGTTTATTACCTCCAAACTAGAAGTATAAAAGATTCTGAAAACATGATTCAATCAAACCAAAGAAAACAAGAAATAAGAGATTAAGAGGGGAAAAAAAAGAGAATCGAACATATAGAGTACAAATATAAGATTCTTTATTTAGACCCAAATACATTAAAAATTGCATTAGTACGAATGGACTTAGTGCTCTTGATATAATACAAATATACTCAGACTGGGGGAAAAGTTGGCTATATATTGTTTACAAGAGATTTATGTGAAACCTAGGTTAGCATTTGATTGACTTTTCTGAGGAACACTGACCATCACAAGTATATTAATATCAGAAAATACAAACTTTACAATGAAGACTATTAATGGAGGTGAATGGGACCACTGCATAATAAATAAAGGTTCAATCTACCAGAAAGGTATAACATTTTAAATGTGTATGCATATAACAACATAAGGCAAAAACTGACAATTTTTTTTTTATCCTCACCCAAGGACATTTTTTCCATTTTTTGTTCAGATAGAGCAGAAGGAAGAGGGGGGGAGAGAGAGAGAGAGAGAGAGAGAGAGAGAGAGAAAGAGAGAAACATCGATGTAAAAGGGACATATCGAGTGGCTGCCACCCGCACGACCCAACCAGGGCCGGGGACAAACCGCAACCGAGGTACGTGCCCTTAGCGGGAACCGAACCTGGGTCTCTCTGGACCACAGGCCGACGCTGTAACTGCTGAGCCAAACTGGCCAGAGCAAAAAACTGGCAAATTTTTAAAAAACTAAACTAATCCGCCCTGGCCAGTTTGGCTCAGCGGTTAGAGCATCGGCCTGCGGTCCGGAGAGACCCGGGTTCGGTTCCCGCTAAGGGCACGTACTTCGGTTGCAGTTTGTCCCCGGCTCTGGTTGGTCGTGCGGGTGGCAGCCACTCGATGTGTCCCTTTCATGTCGATGTTTCTCTCTCTCTCCCTTCCTCTCTCTCCTTCCCACTCTATCTGTACAAAAAATGGAAAAATATCCTCGGGTGAGGATAAAAAAACAAACAAACAAAAAACTAAACTAATCCATATTCCTGTAGGGAATTTTAATATATGTTTTAGAATAACTGATGAAACACATAGACAAGAAAATCACTAAGAAAATGTTATTATACCAGATGTAAACAACATCATTAACAAATTCGATCAATAGCCATAGATAGAAAACTTGTCCCAATGATGACAGGGTATACACTCTATTTGAACACACACATGAAATATTACAAAATATTTTATCATATACTTTGCCATATAAAGTAAAATTTCAATATATGTCAAAGGATTGAAGTCATACAGAACATGTTTTCTGATTCCAAGGTTATTAGGCTAGAAATCAATAACAAAAGCATTATTATATAATATTTATAATATATATTCTATTTGGTTATATAATATATTATAGTCATAAATATGTACTATACTATATGTCTATATATTATATAGTCATAAATATAACTCTATATAACTGTATGTAAATATCACTGACAATTTAGAAAATCCCCTATGAATAAGTCAAGTATAAAATAATTATAATGTAAATTTAAAATTATTTAAACTTAAGTGACAATAAAAATAATAACTGTAAAACGTTTAGTGTAAAAACTAAAGTGGTTATTAGAAAAATATGTATAATTTCAGCAGTCTCTATCAGAGATAGAGAAAAGTTAAAATTTAATAAGCTAAAGTTTTAATTTTAAAAACAAGAAAACAGCAGAAAAATAAACCAAAAGGAAATTGAAGGGAGAAAACACCAAATGATAAGAGCACGTGTACTATAAAAAATATTCAATAGAGATAAACAACATCAAGAACTTTTAGTTCTTTGGTACAGACAGTAAAGCCAATAAAGCTGTTAATCCAGAAATAAATATAGAAGGCGAGAGTAACCAGCATCCAGGAACATAAAGACATCACTCTATGTAGCAGAAACTAAACAGAAAGTAATAAAAATCTTTAAATCCCATACATTTAAAATCTGTCATAAACGGGGAAATTCCCAGACAAATAGCATTATTCAAACCTTTAGCAGTTGTTCGGTGAGTATTGGGACTCATTAGCCCAGACGAAAGGAAACCCAATGTACTGACGAAATTCGGCCACTAGGGCGGCGCTTCAGCGTTGTCACTCAGGTTCCCTGAGACTGGGAAACTCCACTTCTTGCTGTGCCAGCATATTGTCAGAATTAAGTGTAAATCAAGATAAAGTGTTCACTCCTAATACAATGGGCATAAAGAACAAACCACGAGGCCGGCCGGTGTGGCTCACTGGTTGAGTGTTGTCCCATGCACCAAGAGGTCGCCAGTTCCATTCCTGGTCAGGGCACATACCTGGGGCTGCAGGCTCCCAGTATAGAATGTGCAGGAGGTAGTCAATCGATGTTTGTCATTGATGTTTCTATCTCTCGCTCCCTCTAAAAAAATCAATCAATCAATAAAAACATCTGTTAAAAAAAAAGAACAACCCATGAGACCATAGGTGTGATTTCAATTAAAAAAAAAAAAAAAGCAACCCACCAGGAATAGGTGTTGTCGGACACTCCTGTGTTCCATCCTCAGAGGTCCTCAGAGGTCCTGGTCCTGCTCCAGTGATGGAGGGAAGGTTTCAAGATGGGCAGCACCCTGGTCTGCCTCCTGTCTGCTCATCTCTGGGTGGGTCTCCAGGGTTTGGGGGCTGGGTTGTCCTCCTGCTCTGTGCGGAGGGGTACGAGCTCCCTCTCTGAAGTTCCTCATCTGTGGATAAGGAGGCCCCATGTTCCTCACCAGCTTCCGTGGGGCTCCTTTCCCACAGCTTCCTTCCCACAAACTTCCTTCTCTTTTCACCCACAGAAACCCAGATACCATCCCGAGATGCTGCGCCTGCTGCTGCCCCTGCTGTGGGCAGGTGAGTGTGTGTGGGGGGGGAGAAGGTGTGGGCAGCATGGGGACTGCAGCTGACCCTCGTTTCCCTGCAGGGTCCCTGGCCAAGGATGAGGACCACTGGGTGAGAGTGCAGAAGTCCGTGACGGTGCAGGAGGGCCTGTGTGTCTCCGTGCCCTGCACCATCATCTATCACCATTACAACTGGACAGACTCTACCCCAGCTCACGGCTACTGGTTCCGGGAAGTAGCAAATGAACTCTCGGATCCACCAGTGGCCACAAACAACCCAGATTGAAAAGTGCAAGATAAAACCCAGGGCCGATTCCACCTCCTTAGGGACCGCGGGAACAACAGCTACTCCTTGGACATCAGAGATGCACAGAGAAGGGACACAGGGACATACTTCTTTAGGGTGGAGAGAAGGGATTATAAAGTATATAGTTACCAACAGAACCGGTTTTCTGTACATGGGACAGGTAAGGAATGGGATCAAAGAGAGGACACATGGGTGGGTCCTGAGGGCTACTGGGCTGAGAAGAAATGAATTTCTTCTCTTCCTGGGAAAAACCCATGAGGACCCAGAAGGACAGGACACTGGGGCTGCACAGAGGTGGAGGTTGCTGTTAGAAGCGCACTAGGGGACCATACCTCCAGGAACTGGGTCTATCTCCTTTTCTTCAGCTCATTTACAGACACCGGACATCCACTTTCAAGGGTTCCTAGAATCTGGGAACCCCAAGATCATTACCTGTGCGGTACCATGAGCCTGTGAGAGGGAAACGCCCACAGAATTCTACTGGACTGGAGTCAACATCACCTCGCTGGGTTCCAGGACTTTCGACTCCTCAGTGGTCACCCTCACACCAGGGCCACAGGACCACGGCGCCAACCTCACCTGTAGAGTGACCTTCCCTGGAGCTGGCGTGAGCACGGTGAAGACCATCCAGCTCAATGTGTGTGAGTGATCAGCCAGGATGAGGGGTCCTTGAGGGCGTAGAGTGTCAGGGTGGGGGCAGTGCCAGGGAGGAGGACACCTGGGGACTGTTCTTGGATGTGTGACTGGAGTTCAGAAGGAGAGAACACCCAGACCCACCATCTTGCTCATGACCAGCCCATCGTGCTGCAGGTGGTGAGTTATTTGTTTCTCTTCCAGATGCACCACAGAACCTGACCATTCGTGTCTTCAGGGGAAACAGCACAGGTGGGAGAGGCCTGGAGTTACACCCCCCCCTAGAATGTCACTATTGGGCCCCCAAATGATCACTACATACCCCAGAAGTGACCCTATTCCTTCCCTGCTCCGAACTCACCATGGCTCCCTCATCCCTCAGGGGAGAGGATTCCAGCATCATCTGCATTTGACCCTCCAAGGCTCAGACCTACATGTGACAGCACCTCTGCACAGTGTCACACATCAAGGTCCACCTCATGCCAGGTCTAGGTTTAACCAACTCTTCCTCAAATGTTCATCCCCCTGTTCCAGGCTCGGCAGGTTTCCTCTCCTTCCCCCACCTCACCTTATTTATCTGTCGCTCCTGGGTATTACTTGCAATGCTTGTCTCAGAGACACTATTTTCCATTGCTGAGAGACAACCCTTATGAATCTTCTGTCCCCCTAGTCCCAGAGGTCCTGGGTAATGCCACCTCCCTGCAAGTCCAGGAGGGCCAGGCCCTGCGCCTGGTCTGTGAAACGGATGGCAACCCCCCAGCCAAGCTGAGCTGGTCCCGTGGGAGCCTGACCCTGAGCCCCTCCAAGCCCTCGGATCCAGGGATCTTAGAGCTGCCCCAGGTGGTCTTGTCAGACGGAGGGGAATTCATCTGCCGAGCTCAGCACCCACGGATCTCTTACAGCACATCCCTGAACCTAGTTGTGCAGGGTGAGTATTAGCAGGACCCCTGCATTGTGAGGTGGGGCCCTCAGCAGGACTAAGGAGCAGACTTTAAAAAAATGCACCTTACACCTTCTCTCCTCTCCTTCCCTCAGGCATCTCTGGTTCCTTTCCCCAGATCTGTGGGGAGCAGTAGGGTTCTTGGCTCCTGGTCTCCACACTTCTGAGATGGAGGGGGGCCCGTGGGGGCTGGCTTCCTCCTCACCTATGGCCTCACCAGAATCTACTACACCAGCAAGGGGCCCTTCTAAGGGTGTCCTGATTTGGGGACATCTTGGTGGCTTCACATGTCTTGTTGACTCCACAGCACACTACTCAAAGCACTGTTCTCTCGTTTCAAAGCTTGTTTCTTCCACTGCTTCAGAGACCTCCATGGGGACCAGGCTGCAAGGAGGGACTGAGTCCCTTCCCCAATGTGGTGCTGAGGGTCCATCCCGCAGTTGGCTCCTGTACACACTCTGCAGAGTGTTGCAGAGCAATTAGGTGCTGGATGAGAGCACCTCGTGTCCCATTCAGAAATAATTCTTCTCTTCCTTGAGTTTCTAAGACTCTTCTTGATATTTCTCCCTCAGTGTTTGGGACGACACGTGGGGAAAACATAGAGTGTTTCATTACTAATTTGAATCATATTCCATGTAATATGTTGCTCTTGCATGCTTGTCTTAATGTGTTTTTAATAAAAAACATTTTTTTATTGATATTAGAGAGTGAGGAAGGAAGAGGGAGAGAGAGATAGAAACAGCAATGAGAGAGAACATTGATTGGCCACCTCCTGCATGCTCCCACTCGGGATTTGCTTCACAACCTGGGCAAGTTCCTTGATCAGGAATTGAAGTCGCGACCTTTTGGTGCATGGGTCGACGCTCAGCACTGAGCCACACTGGCCTGGCCTTCGCCTGCCTTTTTAATATATTTTTTTTCTCACCTGAGGACATTTTTGCATTTATCTTCTGATCGAGCCGGAGGTAGAGAGGGGGTAAGAGAGAGAGAGAAACGTCAATGTCAGAGACAAACATCGACTGGTTGCCACCCACACGATCCCAGCTGGAGCTGGGGACAAACTGCAACCGAGGTATGTGTCCTTAGCGGGAACCTAACCCAGAACTGTCTGGTCCGAGGGCCCACACTCTAACCACTGAACCAAACCAGCCAGGGCTTTAATGTGGTTTTGATAATCATATTATTGAACCCATAATGTATTGTTATAAAGTCTTAAAACTGTGAACTAGAGGGACAATTTACAGTTCGAAAAATAAGCTCTTTTATGGTTTTCCACGTGTTAACGGTTTAACTGGTCTTCATTTCTTTATGTCGTTCACGCTCCTCCATACTACAATATTTTCCAGTTTTTTTGAAAAGTAATTGACATATTTCAATGTATAAGTTTAAGCTATACAGAATGATGGTTTGTTTTATGTATGTGGTGAAATGATTACCACAGTAGGTTCAGCTGACATCTATTTTCTTATATAGATGCAATAAAAAGTAAGGCAAGGAAAAAGGAAAATAAATATTTCTGTCTATGATGAGCACTCAGGATATACTCTCTTAACTTTTCTACCTATTATACAGGTGTGTGCGCTATAGTCATCATGTTGAACATTGCATTCCTAATATTTATCTATGTTATAATGAGACATTTTTCTCTTTTAACCACCTTCCTCCATTTCCCCTACTTATCATTTTTCTTTTGCCTGAAAACCTATTTGTATATTTTGGTAGTGCATGGATGCTGATGATGAATTTCCTCAGCTGCTGTTTGGAAAAGCTTGTGTTTACATTAGCTTTGGGAAGATATTCTTCCTAGATAAGGAATTCTAGGACAACATTTTGCTTTTTCAGTTCTACAACTTCTTTTGCCTTTCAAAGGTTCTTCAGAGATTCTGCTATAATTGTTATCTTTCTTTCTTTGTGAGTATTTTGTCATTTTCTCTGGCAGGTTTTAATAGTTTTTGTTTTCTACCAGGTGTAAATGAGTTGCTTAATATATCTGCCTTGAAGTGGGATGTGAGTACGTGTGTGTGTGTGTGTGTGTGTGTGTCCAGGTAGGAGAGAGATAGTGAGTGAGAGAGAGAGAGAGATATTATCTTATTCGGAGATTGTCGAGTGTCTCTGGTTTGTGGGTTTATAGTTGTAATCATATTTGAGAAAATGAAAACTAATTATATATGATTATTTTATTCTTTTTATCTGTTTTTCTCTGGCTCTACAATTTTACGTGTTACATTGCTTGATATAATATCATTGGGCCTTGAGCATCTGTATTCCTTGATTTAGCCTTTTTTCTCTGAATTTTTCAATTCTAACAGGAGCTATTGTTACATGTTCAAGTTCATTAATTATTCTACAATGTTGAATGCTGTTTGTCTCACTCAGTGAAATTAGCATTTCAGATCATGCATTTTCTCCTACAGACGTTTCAGTTCCTTCATATTTCATCGTCTATTCTAATTTCTTCTCTTATTTCGGTAGTTTTTTTCACCTCTTTGAGTATATAGAACATATTCGTAAAAAGTCTGTCAATGGTTTTGTGTGCTAGGTCCATCTCCTGTGTCATGTCTCAGCATCAGTGAATGAATGGTTTTCCTCATATGAAGTGTTGCGTGTTCATACTGTTTTATATGTCTAGTAATTTTTCATTCAGTACTGGACATCGTCGTTTTTATTTGGCTGACTGCTTGGTTCTGTGGTATTCCTTTAGAGCACATTGTTCTTGTTCTTGAGAGTAGCGAAGTGGCTTGCATGGTGGGCCGATATTTTTTAGGTTCTTTCATCATTAGCCTCATTTTAAAGATAGTTCTAATGTAGCCTTAATTTTAGTACCAATTTTCTTTCCATTGAATGCCATGGTCCTTTTCGATGTTTGACTGAATGCACCATATATTCAAGGAGGCATCTTTACTCTGCACAGGACCAAGCACTTTGTGGTCTCCGGGAAAGTTTCCTCTAATAGCTGTGTGGCAATTGTTCTCTCCTGAGAAATTGTTCTTGTTTGGTCTCATGGGGTTTCAGGTAAAGAATCTAAGAGGTCATTTGATATCTATAGTACAAACTGTCATCCTTCTTGTCCATGACTGGGGTATTGGATTGTACCATGCATTCTGGTTCGGTTTGAATTTTCTATTAATGGAAAAGTATGACAATTATGTCATTTTGCTAACCACAATGCTACAATGAGTAAGGTTGTGTCTAAAATCAGAGATGTGTGTGTGCATTTGATATAAATCCCTGAGATTACATAGCTGAGTCCTGCGTTCTTTCTATGTTTATTTATAAAAGTTAATTCATTCTGTGTTTCTGGTATGAAAACCTTTAAGACACCTCTGTTAAAACTTTGAAACATGCAATGCAGTGTTTTGTAAGTATAATCACCATGCTATACATGAGATTGCCTGGATGTATTTGTTTTATGACTGGAAGCTTTGACCCATTCACCCACTGCCACCATTGTGTTCTCTGTCTGAGAATTTGGGGGGGGGGATTTCTTTGTTATTAAGATTCCACATATAAGATCAAATGGAATTTCTCTTTCTCTGTCTGACTTGTTTTATGCAGCAGAACAACCTCATGGGCTAGGCATGTTGTCATACATAGAAATATTTTATTTTTTTATGGCTTTGTATATACACCACATCATTTTGTCTACTGATCTATCCATGGGAAGTCAGGTTTATGCATTTGTTGACTATTGTACACAATGCTGCAATGAACATGGGGCTTCAGCTATTTTCCAAGTTAATGCTTTTTCATTGCCTTCAGATAAATACCAGGAAATGGGAGAGCGGGATCATATGGTAGTTTTTTTTATACTATTTTGAGGAAGTTCCATACTGTGTTTCATAATGGCTGCACTAATTTACATACCCATCAACAGGGTACCAGGGTTCCCATTTTTCACAATCTTCTCGTTTTGTAAAATATGTATATATGTAAAATATGAGTGGACAGTGTTGCAGAAAATTGACGGTGTGAATGTCAGTGTTCTCTCAGGTTCACGAGACCTGGTGAGACAAAACATTTAGTCCTTCACAATCTCAGAAGAAAACTGCATTCTTCATGTAGTTTTATTTTTTTTTACCCTCACCCAAGATAGTTTTCTCATTGATATTCCAAAAGAGTTGGAGGAGAGGAGGAAAGAAGAGAGAGAGAAACATCAATGTGAGAGAGACACATCAATAGGTTGCCTCCATCATGACCCTGACCAGGGCCAGGGATGGAACTGCAACCAAGGTACATGCTCTTGACCAGAATCGAACCCACAACACCTTGGTTCGCGCCCAACATGCTAACGGCTGAGCCAAAGTGATCAGTGCATCCATGTCGTTTTCAGGAGTGTTTCTTGGGTTAGAAATGATGTTGCATATGAGTTTCTGTCATAAAGAATTATTGGTGCATCTTCTGTTCTATGAGCTGTGTGTCCATATTCTTGGCTCAGTCTCCTACTTCATGCCTTGAATTTTCATCATTGATTTCTGGTAACATTTTTCAAGTTAGAGGAATTAGCTGTTTTCCTGGAATACAGTTGCAACAAGTTTATTCAGTATGCACCACCTTTTTCCTGGTGGTGAGGTTTTCTTTGTTTTTGTTTTTTACAGTGCTTAGGGATCTATTTATATCTGTTGGTCTTATTTATCAATCTCTTAGGACCGAGGGCACAGTGGGTGCTGGTGGTTATCGGGCAGGCAGCTGTCATAACCCTGCTCCTCCTCCTGGTCATCATCATCCTCACGTAAGCTCTGCCCCAGGGATGGAGGGATGCATGGGGAGGGCAGGCGGCATGTGTCTGAATCCCAGGACCAGTGATTGGGTTTGAATGGATAAGGGCACCCGGGAGGCTGATGAGCAGGTGGGTTAGGATTCCACGCGGGCTGTGATTATAAGTGCACTGCTCAGCAAGTGTCCAGGATAAGAGGTACCTGCAGAACAGCCCTCTCCCACCTCATTGTCCCTTTTAGCTACTTACAGGAAGCAAGGGCTGCTGCCCCACACACCCACATCCCATCAGCCTTAGGGACCCTTGTCTCTTTTATCTCAGAGTGAAGTCCTGCAAGGGGAAGGCAGCCAGGGCCACAGAAAACATGGAGTATGCAAACATCGTCCCAGGTCGGGCCCTCAGGTGAGTGACATGGGATTTCACTGGCCAGCGTCCCCTGGACTCTTTCCTCGATTGGCTTCTCCAGATGGCTCCACCCAGCATTGCTAAGATTGAGCTGCCACTTTTGTCCCAAATCCATTCCTCTGCTGGCTTCCCCATCACGGTGATGTCACAGTGGCCCCCTTCTCTAAGGCCTCAATTGTGTTGTGGATATTTTCTTTGTCCTCCCTCCCTTCTCCCCAATGCAATAGGTCACTACATCTTGTCCTTCTTTGCCCCTAATCAGAGCTCTCAGTGATTTGGTCCCCTTCCCGTCTGATCCCTACCTTTGTGGTCTCATCTCTTCCTTGGGTCTCTGAGCACACCAACCTCCTGTCTCCATCTCTGTCCTCTACACAGGCCTTCAGATGGTCATTTCCAAGATAAACTGTCCTCTTCCAACAAAGTATGATACCAACAGTTCCTCTTTATGGCCAGAGACACAGGTGCCAACATCACAGGCTTGATTTGAGGGCTTGGTGTGGTCTGTCCCCTGCTGGATGCCCCATCAGATTCTGTCATGTCCCTGCATCTGACATGATGTCCACACCCAGCCAGGCCACGAACTTTGTGACTCTGAGACTTTGCATGTGCAGGAACTTTGGCTGAAATGCCCTTTCCTCCCCATTCCTACTTCTCCAAGTTGTAATCTTTTTTCACTCTTAGTCACGCCATTGTATGTGTGCACGTAATTGTATAGTGCTCAGCATAGTGACATTCAGTCATTTATTCTCGACCCATGTAGCCCGTGTTACTGAACGTCACTGTGTGCCAGCATTGTTGTAGACACCAGAGATGCCTCAGTGAACACAACTTCAAAAGTATCGACCATCCAAAAGATGTGAAAAGACGCTTCTGCAAAGAAAGTATACAGATGACCAACAGGTACATTAATGAAATTGTCCCCAATGTTCGTCATTAGAGCAACGCCACTCAAAACAACAATGAAATACCACTTCACCATCATTAGATCATGATGCTCTATATTTTTGAAAACTGGGGATAACTAGTGTTGGTGCACATGTGGACAACTTGGAGCCTTAGGGCTTTGCTTGTGGGAGTGAAAAATGGTGCAGCCTCATGGAAAACCTTTTGACTATCCTCCAAAATTTGAACCTAGAATTACCATATAACCCGACGTTCCAATCCCGGGTATGTGCTAAAGAAATTGGACTTGAGACTTCGGGTCAGGGTGGCGGGTAGGTAAACGAGGTATCGGTATCGCGTCCTCCCACAACCACATCAAAATTACAACTAAACTACAGAACCACCATCATTCAATACCACCTAAAATCAAGCTGAGTGGAAGTCCTACAACTGCAGAATTAAAGCAGCAGCCACATCGAGACTGGTAGGAAGGGCGGAGGCGGATGGGCTGGTCCCACACCCACGTGTGGCGGATAAAATCAGGAGGACACCTCGGCTGGGAAGGTCATCCCTGAGGACTGAGGGATCCCCGTCCCACACCAGGTGCCCAGCTCAGGGTTCCAGTGCCAGGAAGAGAATCCCCATAACTTCTGGCTGTAAAACCAGCGGGAACTGAGGCTCGGGGAGGCTGAGGCGGCTGGAGCCCAGGCAGCTCCTTAAAGGGCTCGCGCACAGACTTAACGGACCCTCTCCCTCTAAGCTTGGAAGGGAGGCAGCTCGAGGGGCACCAGAGACATACAGGGAAGAACTGAGCTGTTTGGCCCTGGCCGGTTTGGCTCAGCGGTTAGAGCGTCGGCCTGTGGTACAGAGAGACCCGGGTTCGGTTCCCGCTAAGGGCATGTACTTCGGTTGCAGTTTGTCCCTGGCCCTGGTTGGTCGTGTGGGTGGCAGCCACTCGATGTGTCCCTTCACGTCGATGTTTCTCTCTCTCTCTCTCTTCCTCTCTCTCCCTCCCACTCTATCTGTACAAAAAATGGAAAAATATCCTCGGGTGAGGATAAAAAAAAAAAAAAAAAGAACTCAGCTGTTTGGCATTAGAGCGAGGGCTGGAGAGGGGACTTTCTCTGGGACAGATGTGCTGTCGGAGGCCTTTGTGTCTTTGGTGAGCCCTTCTCTGGGTCCACAGACAGCCACTATATCTGGGACTCCAGCAACCTGGCTCACACTGTTTGCCCCACCCTGGTGATTCCCTGAGGCCCTGCCCCACCCAACTTTCAGGCCCACCCAAGCTGTTTTTTTGGCTTTACCATAAGATTGGCCTGTCTTGGCTCCTGCTTCAGGTTTTCCTAAATTCTTTCAAACCAGCATCTGGTCTCAGCCAGCGCCATACGTCTCGTTAAGTAGTACATAGAAACAAACACAGGGAGGCAGCCAAAATGAGGAGATAAAGAAACAGGTCCCAAATGAAAGAACAGAATAAAACCCCAGGAAAAGAACTAAGCGAAATGGAGATAAGCAACCTGACAGATGCTGAGTTCAAAATACTGCTTATAAGGATGCTCAATGAACTTAGTGAGAATTCAGTGAACTTAGTGAGGGCCTCAAGAGCATAAAAAAAGACCAGTCAGAAATGAAGAATGCACAGTCAAAAATGAAGGAGGCACTAACTGGAATAAAGAATAATTTACACAAAATCAATAGTAGAGCCTTGGCCGGTTTGGCTCAGCGGTTAAAGCGTCGGCCTGCGGTCCTGAGAGACCCGGGTTCAGTTCCCGCTAAGGGCACGTACCTCTGTTTCAGTTTGTCCCCGGCTCTGGTCAGTCGTGCGGGTGGCAGCCACTCGGTGTGTCCCTTTCACATCGATGTTTCTCTCTCTGTCTCTGTTCCTCTCTCTCCCTCCCATGCTACCTGAACAAAAAATGGAAAAATGTCCTCGGGTGAGGATAAAAAAAAAAAAAAAGTAGAGTAGGTAAAGGCAAGAAGCAAACCATCGATTTGGAATATAAGGAAGCAAAAAACACCCAATCAGAACAGCAAAAAGAAAAAAGAAGCCAAAAAAAAAATGAGGATAGTGTAAGGAACCTCTGGGACAACTTCAAGCGTGCCAACATTCGCATCTTGGGGGTGCCAGAAGGAGCAGAGAGAGAACAAGAAATTGAAAACCTATTTGAAACAATAATGGCAGAGAACTTTCCTAACTTGGTGAAGGAAACAGACATACAAGTCCAGGAAGCACAGAGAGTCCCAAACAAGATGAACCCCAAGAGACCCACACCAAGACACATCATCATCAAAATGCAAAAGGTTCAAGACAGAGAGAGTATCTTAAAAGCAGCAAGAGAAAAGCAATTAGTTACCTACAAGGGAGTTCCCATTAGGCTGTCAGCTGATTTCTCAAAAGAAACTTTGCAGGCCAGAAGGGAGTGGCAAGAAATATTCAGAGTGATGAAAAGCAAGAACCTACAACCAAGATTACTCTGTCCTGCAAAACTGTCATTTAGAATCGATGGCCATATAAAGAGTTTCCCAGACAAGGAAAAGCTGAAGGAGTTCATCACCACCAAACCATCATCATATGAAATGTTGAAGGGTCTTCTTGAAGAAAAAGATAAAAAATATGAACAAAAGAAATGGCAATGGATACATAGCTATCAACAATTGAATCTACAAACAAAATGAACAAGCAGAACAGAAACATTCTCATAGATACAGAGAACATTTTGTTGGTTGCCAGATGGGAAGGGGGATGGGGGAATGGGTGAAAAAGGTGAAGGGATTAAGAAGTACAAATTGCTTGCTAGAATGACAAACCTCAAAGGGAAGGGGGATTGGGAGTGGGAAGAAATAAACCAAAGAACTTATATGCATAACCGATGGACACAGACAACAGTGTGAGAAAAGGCAGGAGGGGGGTGGGAGTGGGGAGGAGGGGTCAATGGGGGAAAAATGTGGAACATCTGTAATACATTCAACAATAAAGATATCATTTAAAAAAAGAGAAAAAAAAAAGAAATTGGACTCGCAAAATCAAACAAGTACGTGTACTTTATAGTTCATAGCAGTGTTATTCAAAGGAATGCTAGAGCCAACCACAGTGACCATCCATAGAAGAATGGAAAAACCAAAGGAGGCAGATATATACAATGGAACATGTCTCAGCCTTAAAGAGGATTGAATGAAATTCTGACACTTGCTGCAACATGGATGCACCCTTGCAAACAATATGAAAGAAGCCAGACACAGGACAAATGTTGTGTGATTCTGCTTATTATAAGGTAATATAGGCACATGTATTGAGGCCGAAAATAGAATGGTGGCTGCTGGGATCTAGGGACGGGGAGTGGGGAGCTATTGTGTAACTGTGCGAAGTTTCTATTTGGGGTGGTGACAAGTACTGGAAATAGATGGTTGATGGTTACACCACACTGTGAATGTAATTAGTGCCGCTGAATTGTACCCTCTAACATGGGAAATGTGGAAGGTTTTATTTTGCAGAGACATTACCACAGAAAAACACAGAGATTGAAAAGTACTAATCTCCTGACAGTGCTGTCATTATGAAGACAGGGGTTAATATACGAAATGATAAATAAAATTCTGACTTGTCACTTATTGAGAAATAAGTTTTTTGTTTTGTTTAATTTTTTAAATTTATTTTAGAGAGAGAGGAAGGGAGAGAGAGAGAGAGATAGAAACTTCGATGGACGAGCACATCATTTGACTGCTTCCTCCATGCCCCCCACTGGGGATCATGCACACAACCTGAACATGTGCCCTGACTAGGAATCGAAGTAGCGACCTCTTAGTGCGTGGGTCGACACGCCACTACCGAACCACCCTCGCCAGGCACACACTGAGAAATGTTTAAAGAATATCCTCTTAGAGCAAGGGGCCTGTGATGCATTAGGTGACTTTTCTGTATCCGAGTGTGTGAGGAGGTGATGTCTGAAGAAAGATGGAGGGCAAGGCTGTGTGTGCTTATGTGAAAGGTTCCCAAGGAGAACAAAGGGGGAACACTGAATCCATTGCTCTGAGGCAAATGCAAACTTGGTGTGTTGGAGACAGGCGGCTTATCGGACAGGTTCCGCAGGCATGGTTGGTGGAGCAGCTAGGAGGGTGCTGAGGACCCTGGGAAGACCACTGCAGACCATGGAAGGTTGTGGAGGCTTTGAGGAGAGCAGTCATGTCATGAGACCCTCATTTTATGGAAATCTCAATGGAGTGAGTCCAGAGAAGCACATGACCAGGCAGGAGGGGATGGCACCTGGGACCAAGGACACAGCGTAGCAAAGAATACTTTCTGAAGGTCAAGTTCATTGAACTGTCTAATAGATGTGGGGAGTGAGGAGAAGAGAGAGGCAACGATGCTGCCAAAATATTTCCCGTGAGCACCTGCATGGATGGAGCAGTGTTGGGTGGAGGAGTCCAAGGGGAGGGTTTGAAGGGTGACAGGCATTCTCAGTAGTCACTTGATGTTCTGCAAGAGAGCTGTAGATGAATATCTGGAGATCGGGAGAGGGGTCCAGACTCCAGATGTTAACTTGTGTAGCTACTGGATGATGAGGACAGAAGGTGAGGGAAATTGGCAGGGATGATAAGAGTATGGTGGTTCCTGCAGAAATTAAAACCAGAGTTAACATACAACCCAGCAAGTCCATTTCTGGGTGTGCATCTTACAAGTGGAGAGCAGGGACTCGAAAAAATGTTTGCACGCTCGTATTCACAGCACCCTCATTCACAATAGCCAATAGGTGGATTGAACCCACGTGTTCCTCAACAGATGAATGGAGAAATATAATGTGCTGCCTGTAACCCTTGAATTATTCAGCCCGAACAAGGAACGGATATGTGGCAGGTGCTAACACATGGACAGAACTTGAGGACATACAAGTGAAATTAGTCACAACAAAGACACGTATTTTGTGACTCCACTCATATGAGGAATCCAAAGTCACAAAGCCCTAGAGGCAGAAAAGTAGAATGGTGGTTGCCCACTGCTGGGAGGGTGAGGGTGTTGACTGTAAGCAGAACTTGACCAGGTGTCTTCTGTCACTGGGAAAGATTTATCAGGAAAATAGAAAGGATCGTAACCCAGAACTTGCAGCCATGCTGAACAGTGGACACAGATGCTGAAGCAGCAGCAGAGCTTTATACAGAGGAGAAGAGAAAGTCAAAGGAGAAGCTGTGATAAGAAGGAGCTACATTGTGACCATAGAGAGTTCCCTGGGCTCCCAGGACCACGTGAGGTGTGAGGGCTTTGCCACCAAGCCCTCCAGCTGCCTGTGTGGGTTAAGGTCTGCATCATGTGAAAAGGAAAATACGGAGCTGTTTTGCTGGGTGCAGAGTTTCCGGTTTTGCAACTTGAAAAAAGTTTGTGTGTTTTTTAAAATTTTTCAAAATTTAACTAAATTATAAAAAGCCATCAACCAAACAACAAGCAAAAAACCCCACACTCATATATCTAGAAAATGCTCAGGACAGGTACTAAATTCACCCATCACTAGAGCTCAGAAGTCAGACAGTACTGTGTTTGGGGAGAACGTGACACCTCTGTTTGGGGAGTATCTCACAGGCATGCTCGGGTACATGTGTCCCTCCTTGTCTGCAGTCACCCAACACTTACATGCTCATGGGGTGTTTGGTGAATGAATAATAATAAATGGAAGGATAGATGGATGAATGGATGAATAGAGGTTGCCTTCACTCTGGCCGAAACTTCTTGTTTCTTCTGCCCCAAATACTCACACCGACAGTGAATAATCCTACACATTGCAAGACTGACCCCAACCTTCCCCACATTTCTGGATGGGGTTCTGACTCCAGGTCAATATAGCACCTTGGAGTGGACACCAGAGCTCAGAAAAACCCCTTGGATTGGAGAACCTCGGGAGACTCACTCTTCCATCCTCCGATGTCCTCAAGAAATCCTGGTCCTGTCCGGATGCTGCATGAAAGACCCCAAGATGTTACAGGACCTGGGGTCTGCTTCCTGTCTGCTCCTTTCTGTCTGCTCATCCAGGGTTTGGGAGCTGAGTTGTCCTCCAGCTCTGTGCCAATGGGTGTGAGCTCACTTTCTGAGGTTCCTCATCTGCGGGTGAGGAGGTACCATGCTCCTCCCCAGCTCCCATGGGGCTCGCTGTCCGAAGCCTCCCTCCCATGAACTTCCTTCTCTTTTTACCCAGAGGAGCCCAGAAACCCTCCAGAGATGCTGCGCCTGCTTCTGCCGCTGCTGTGGGCAGGTGAGTGCCCGAGGGAAGAAGGTGTGGGCAGCATGGGGACTGCAGCTGATCCTCGTTTCCCTGCAGGGTCCTTGGCCGAGGATAAGAACTACCGGGTGACAGTGCAGAAGTCCGTGACGGTAGAGGAGGCCCTCTGTGTCTTTGTGCCATGCGATGTCATCTACCCCCACTACTACTGGACTGATTCTACCCCAGCGCACGGCTACTGGTTGCGGGACAAGGCCAATACAGACAAAGATACCCTAGTGGCCACAAACAACCCAGGTCATGAGGTGCCGGAGGAGACCAGAAACAGATTTCATCTCATTGGGGACCCCCGGACTTATAACTGCTCCATGGACATCAGAGACGCAAAGACAAGGGACACTGGGACATACCACTTTAGGGTGGAGAGAGGGTCCTATGTGAGATACAGTTACAAAACGGACCGGCTCTCTGTACGAGTGATAGGTAAGGAACGGGGTTCAGGAGAAGACACACGAGTAAGACATGAGGGCACCAAGGACAGGGCCAGAATGGGACACCCTTGTCTTTATTCCTAGCAACAACCCAGGGAGAATTGGGGGACAGGACTCTGGGTCTACCCAGGCAGAGAAGCTGCTATTAGGAGCACACCCAGAGACCTTCTATCCAGGGCCTGGGTCTGTCCCTCTCTTTCCCAGGTCTGTCACGGGAACCTGACATTCACTTTCAAGGGTTCCTAGAATCTGGGAACCCCAAGAACATTACCTGTATGGTGCCATGGGCCTGTGAGAGAGGGACACCCCCAGAATTCTACTGGACTGGAGTCAACATCACCTCGCTGGGTTCCAGGACTTTCGACTCCTCAGTCGTCACCTTCACACCAGGGCCCCAGGACCACGGCGCCAACCTCACCTGTAGAGTGACCTTCCCTGGAGCTGGCGTGAGCACGGTGAAGACCATCCAGCTCAATGTGTGTGAGTGATAAGCCAGGATGATGGGTCCTTGAGGGCGTAGAGAGTCAGGGTGGGGGCAGTGCCAGGGAGGAGGACACCTGGGGACTGTTCTTGGATATGTGACTGGAGTTCAGGAGGAGAGAACACCCAGACCCACCATCTTGCTCATGACCAGCCCATCGTGCTGCAGGTGGTGAGTTATTTGTTTCTCTTCCAGATGCACCACAGAACCTGACCATTCGTGTCTTCAGGGGAAACAGCACAGGTGGGAGAGGCCTGGAGTCACCCCCCCCCACTAGAATGTCACTATTGGGCCCCCAAATGTTCACTACATACCCCAGAAGTGACCCTATTCCTTCCCTGCTCCGAACTCACCATGGCTCCCTCACCCCTCAGGGGAGAGGATTCCAGCATCATCTGCATTTGACCCTCCAAGGCTCAGACCTACATGTGACCGCACCTCTGCACAGTGTCACACATCAAGGTCCACCTCATGCCAGGTCTAGGTTTAACCAGCTCTTCCTCAAACGTTCATCCCCCTGTTCCAGGCTCAGCAGGTTCCCTCTCCTTCCCCCACCTCACCTTATTTATCTGTCGCTCCTGGGTATTACTTGCAATGCTTGTCTCAGAGACGCTCTTTTTCATTGCTGAGAGAGAACCCTTATGAATCTTCTGTCTCCCTAGTCCCAGAGGTCCTGGGGAATGCCACCTCCCTGCAAGTCCAGGAGGGCCAGGCCCTGCGCCTGGTCTGTGAAACGGATGGCAACCCCCCAGCCAAGCTGAGCTGGTCTCGTGGGAGCCTGACCCTGAGCCCCTCCAAGCCCTCGGATCCAGGGATCTTAGAGCTGCCCCAGGTGGTCTTGTCAGACGGAGGGGAATTCATCTGCCGAGCTCAGCACCCACGGATCTCTTACAGCACATCCCTGAACCTAGTTGTGCAGGGTGAGTATTAGCAGGACCCCTGCATTGTGAGGTGGGGCCCTCAGCAGGACTAAGGAGCAGACTTTAAAAAAATGCACCTTACACCTTCTCTCCTCTCCTTCCCTCAGGCATCTCTGGTTCCTTTCCCCAGATCTGTGGGGAGCAGTAGGGTTCTTGGCTCCTGGTCTCCACACTTCTGAGATGGAGGGGGCCCGTGGGGGCTGGCTTCCTCCTCACCTATGGCCTCACCAGAATCTACTACACCAGCAAGGGGCCCTTCTAAGGGTGTCCTGATTTGGGGACATCTTGGTGGCTTCACATGTCTTGTCGACTCCAGAGCACACTACTCAAAGCACTGTTCTCTCGTTTCAAAGCTTGTTTCTTCCACTGCTTCAGAGACCTCCATGGGGACCAGGCTGCAAGGAGGGACTGAGTCCCTTCCTCAGTGAGGTGCTGAGGGTCCATCCCGCAGTTGGCTTCTGTACACACTCTGCACAGCGTTGTGGAGCAATTAGGTGCTGGATGAGAGCACCTCGTGTCCCATTCAGAAATAATTCTTCTCTTCCTTGAGTTTCTAAGACTCTTCTTGATATTTCTCCCTCAGTGTTTGGGACGACACGTGGGGAAAACATAGAGTGTTTTATTACTAATTTGAATCATATTCCATGTAATATGTTGCTCTTGCATGCTTGTCTTAATGTGTTTTTAATAAAAAATTTTTTTTATTGATATTAGAGAGTGAGGAAGGAAGAGGGAGAGAGAGATAGAAACATCAATGAGAGAGAACATTGACTGGCCACCTCCTGCATGCTCCCACTGGGGATTTGCTTCACAACCTGGGCAAGTTCCTTGATCAGGAATTGAAGTCGCGACCTTTTAGTGCATGGGTCGACGCTCAGCACTGAGCCACACTGGCCTGGCCTTCGCGTGTTTTTTTACTATTTTTTTTTCTCACCTGAGGACATTTTTGCATTTATCTTCTGATAGAGCAGAAGGTAGAAAGGGGGTAAGAGAGAGAGAAACGTCAATGTCAGAGACACACATCGACTGGCTGCCACGCACACGATCCCAGCTGGAGCCGGGGACAAATTGCAATGGAGGTATGTGTCCTTAGCGGGAACCTAACCCAGACTGTCTGGTCCGAGGGCCCACACTCTAACCACTGAACCAAACCAGCCAGGGTTTTAAAAAAAATTTTTTTTTTTATCCTCACCCGAGGATATTTTTCCATTTTTTGTACAGATAGCGTCGGAGGGAGAGAGAGGAAGGGAGAGAGAGAGAGAGAAACATCGATGTGAAGGGACACATCGAGTGGCTGCCACCCGCACGACCAACCAGGGCCGGGGACAAACTGCAACCGAAGTACGTGCCCTTAGCGGGAACCGAACCCGGGTCTCTCCGGACCGCAGGCCGACGCTCCAACCGCTGAGCCAAACTGGCCAGGGCACCAGCCAGGGTTGTAATGTGGTTTTGATAATCATATTATTGAACCCATAATATATTGTTATAAAGTTTTAAAACTGTGAACTAGAAGGACATTTTACAGTTAGAAAAATCAGCTTTTATGGTTATCCACGTGTTAACGGTTTAACTGGTCTTCATTTCTTTATGTCGTTCAGGCTCCTCCATAGTACAATATTTTCTAGTTTTATTGAAAAGTAATTGACATATTTCAATGTATAAGTTTAAGCTATACAGAATGATGGTTTGTTTTATGTATGTTGTGAAATGATTACCACAGTAGGTTCAGCTGACATCTATCTTCTTATATAGATGCAATAAAAAGTAAGGCAAGGAAAAAGGAAAATAAATATTTCTGTCTATGATGAGCACTCAGGATATACTCTCTTAACTTTTCTACCTATTATACAGGTGTGTGCGCTATAGTCATCATGTTGAACATTACATTCCTAATATTTATCTATGTTATAACGAGACATTTTTCTCTTTTAACCACCTTCCTCCATTTCGCCTACCTATCGTTTTTCTTTTGCCTGAAAACCTATTTGTATATTTTGGTAGTGCATGGATGCTGATGATGAATTTCCTCAGCTGCTGTTTGGAAAAGCTTGTGTTTACATTAGCTTTGGGAAGATATTCTTCATAGATAAGAAATTCTAGGACAACATTTTGCTTTTTCAGTTCTACAACTTCTTTTGCCTTTCAAAGGTTCTTCAGAGATTCTGCTATAGTTGTTATCTTTCTTTCTTTGTGAGTATTTTGTCATTTTCTCTGGCAGGTTTTAATAGTTTTGTTTTCTACCAGGTGTAAATGAGTTGCTTAATATACCTGCCTTGAAGTGGGATGTGAGTACGTGTGTGTGTGTGTGTGTGTGTGTCCAGGTAGGAGAGAGATAGTGAGTGAGAGAGAGAGAGATATTATCTTATTCAGAGATTGTTGAGTGTCTCTGGTTTGTGGGTTTATAGTTGTAATCATATTTGAGAAAATGAAAACTAATTATATATGATTATTTTATTCTTTTTATCTGTTTTTCTCTGGCTCTACAATTTTACGTGTTACATTGCTTGATATAATATCATTGGGCCTTGAGCATCTGTATTCCTTGATTTAGCCTTTTTTCTCTGAATTTTTCAATTCTAACAGGAGCTATTGTTACATGTTCAAGTTCATTAATTATTCTACAATGTTGAATGCTGTTTGTCTCACTCAGTGAAATTAGCATTTCAGATCATGCATTTTCTCCTACAGACGTTTCAGTTCCTTCATATTTCATCGTCTATTCTAATTTCTTCTCTTATTTCGGTAGTTTTTTTTCACCTCTTTGAGTATATAGAACATATTCGTAAAAAGTCTGTCAATGGTTTTGTGTGCTAGGTCCATCTCCTGTGTCATGTCTGAGCATCAGTGAATGAATGGTTTTCCTCATATGAAGTGTTGCGTGTTCATACTGTTTTATATGTCTAGTAATTTTTCATTCAGTACTGGACATCGTCGTTTTTATTTGGCTGACTGCTTGGTTCTGTGGTATTCCTTTAGAGCACATTGTTCTTGTTCTTGAGAGCAGAGAAGTGGCTTGCATGGTGGGCCGATATTTTTTAGGTTCTTTCATCATTAGCCTCATTTTAAAGATAGTTCTAATGTAGCCTTAATTTTAGTACCAATTTTCTTTCCTTTGAATGCCATGGTCCTTTTCGATGTTTGACTGAATGCACCATACATTCAAGGAGGCATCTTTACTCTGCACAGGACCAAGCACTTTGTGGTCTCCGGGAAAGTTTCCTCTAATAGCTGTGTGGCAGTTGTTGTCTCCTGAGAAATTGTTCTTGTTTGGTCTCATGGGGTTTCAGGTAAAGAATCTAAGAGGTCATTTGATATCTATAGTACAAACTGTCATCCTTCTTCTCCATGACTGGACTATTGGATTGTATCATGCATTCTGGTTCGGTTTGAATTTTCTATTAATGGAAAAGTATGTCATTTTGCTAACCACAATGCTGCAATGAGTAAGGTTGTGTCTAAAATCAGAGATGTGTGTGTGCATTTGATATAAATCCCTGAGATTACATAGCTGAGTCCTGCGTTCTTTCTATGTTTATTTATAAAAGTTAATTCATTCTGTGTTTCTGGTATGAAAACCTTTAAGACACCTCTCTTAAAACTTTCAAACATGCAATGCAGTGTTTTGTAAGTATAATCACCATGCTATACATGAGATTGCCTGGATGTATTTGTTTTATGACTGGAAGCTTTGACCCATTCACCCACTGCCACCATTGTGTTCTCTGTCTCAGAATTTGGGGGGGGGGATTTCTTTGTTATTAAGATTCCACATATAAGATCAAATGGAATTTCTCTTTCTCTGTCTGACTTGTTTTATGCAGCAGAACAACCTCATGGGCTAGGCATGTTGTCATACATAGAAATATTTTATTCTTTTATGGCTTTGTATATACACCACATCTTTTTGTCCACTGATCTATCCATGGGAAGTCAGGTTTATGCATTTGTTGACTATTGTACACAATGCTGCAATGAACATGGGGCTTCAGCTATTTTCCAAGTTAATGATTTCATTGCCTTCAGATAAATACTAGGAAATGGGAGAGCGGGATCATATGGTAGTTTTTTTTATACTATTTTGAGGAAGTTCCATACTGTGTTTCATAATGGCTGCACTAATTTACATACCCATCAACAGGGTACCAGGATTCCCATTTTTCACAATCTTCTCGTTTTGTAAAATATGTATATATGTAAAATATGAGTGGACAGTGTTGCAGGAAATTGAGGGTGTGAATGTCAGTGTTCTCTCAGGTTCATGAGACCTAGTGAGACAAAACATTTAGTCCTTCACAATCTCAGAAGAAAACCGCATTCTTCATGTAGTTTTCTTTTTTTTTTTACCCTCACCCAAGATAGTTTTCTCATTGATATTCCAAAAGAGTTGGAGGAGAGGAGGAAAGAAGAGAGAGAGAAACATCAATGTGAGAGAGACACATCAATAGGTTGCCTCCATCATGACCCTGACCAGGGCCAGGGATGGAACTGCAACCAAGGTACATGCTCTTGACCAGAATCGAACCCACAACACCTTGGTTCGCGCCCAACATGCTAACTGCTGAGCCAAAGTGATCAGTGCATCCATGTCGTTTTCAGGAGTGTTTCTTGGGTTAGAAATGATGTTGCATATGAGTTTCTGTCATAAAGAATTATTGGTGCATCTTCTGTTCTATGAGCTGTGTGTCCATATTCTTGGCTCAGTCTCCTACTTCATGCCTTGAATTTTCATCATTGATTTCTGGTAACATTTTTCAAGTTAGAGGAATTAGCTGTTTTCCTGGAATACAGTTGCAACAAGTTTATTCAGTATGTCACCACCTTATTCCTGGTGGTGAGGTTTACTTTGTTTTTGTTTTTTACAGTGCTTAGGGATCTATTTATATCTGTTGTCTTATTTATCAATCTCTTAGGACCGAGGGCACAGTGGGTGCTGGTGGTTATCGGGCAGGCAGCTGTCATAACCCTGCTCCTCCTCCTGGTCATCATCATCCTCACGTAAGCTCTGCCCCAGGGATGGAGGGATGCATGGGGAGGGCAGGCGGCATGTGTCTGAATCCCAGGACCAGTGATTGGGTTTGAATGGATAAGGGCACCCGGGAGGCTGATGAGCAGGTGGGTTAGGATTCCACTCGGGCTGTGATTATAAGTGCACTACTCAGCAAGTGTCCAGGATAAGAGGTACCTGCAGAACAGCCCTCTCCCACCTCATTGTCCCTTTTAGCTACTTACAGGAAGCAAGGGCTGCTGCCCCACACACCCACATCCCATCAGCCTTAGGGACCCTTGTCTCTTTTATCTCAGAGTGAAGTCCTGCAAGGGGAAAGCAGCCAGGGCCACAGAAAACATGGAGTATGCAAACATCGTCCCAGGTCGGGCCCTCCGGTGAGTGACATGGGATTTCACTGGCCAGCGTCCCCTGGACTCTTTCCTCGATTGGCTTCTCCAGATGGCTCCACCCAGCATTGCTAAGATTGAGCTGCCACTTTTGTCCCAAATCTATTCCTTTGCTGGCTTCCCCATCACGGTGATGGCACAGTGGCCCCCTTCTCTAAGGCCTCAATTGTGTTGTGGATATTTTCTTTGTCCTCCCTCCCTTCTCCCCAATGCAATAGGTCACTACATCTTGTCCATCTTTGCCCCTAATCAGAGCTCTCGGTGATTTGGTCCCCTTCCCGTCTGATCCCTACCTTTGTGGTCTCATCTCTTCCTTGGGTCTCTGAGCCCACCAACCTCCTGTCTCCATCTCTGTCCTCTACACAGGCATCCAGATGGTCATTTCCAAGATAAACTGTCCTCTTCCAACAAAGTTTGATACCGACGGTTCCTCTTTATGGCCAGAGACTCAGGTGCCAACATCACAGGCTTGATTTGACGGCTTGGTGTGGTCTGTCACCTGCTGGATGCCCCATCAGATTCTGTCATGTCCCTGCATCTGACATGATGTCCACACCCAGCCAGGCCACGAACTTTGTGACTCTGAGACTTTGCATGTGCAGGAACTTTGGCTGAAATGCCCTTTCCTCCCCATTCCTACTTCTCCAAGTTGTAATCTTTTTTCACTCTTAGTCACGCCATTGTGTGTGTGCACGTAACTGTATAGTGCTCAGCATAGCGACATTCAGTCATTTATTCTCGACCCATGTAGCACGTGTTACTGAACGTCACTGTGTGCCAGCATTGTTGTAGACACCAGAGATGCCTCAGGGAACACAACTTCAAAAGTATCGACCATCCAAAAGATGTGAAAAGATGCTTCTGCAAAGAAAGTATACAGATGACCAACAGGTACATTAATGAAATTGTCCCCAACATTCATCATTAGAGAAACGCCACTCAAAACAGCAATGAAATACCACTTCGTCATCATTAGGACATGATGCTCTATATTTTTTGAAAACTGGGGATAACTAGTGTTGGCGCCGATGTGGACAACTTGGAGTCTTAGGGCTTTGTTTGTGGGAGTGAAAAATGGTGCAACCTCATGGAAAACCTTTTGACTATCTTCCAAAATTTGAACCTAGAATTACCATATAACCCAAAGTTCCACTTCCAGGTATATGCTAAAGACATTGGACTCACAAAATCAAACAAGTACTTGCACTCCATAGTTCATAGCGGTGTTATTCAAAGAAATGCTAGAACTAACCACAGTGACAATCCATAGAAGAATGGAAAAACCAAAGGAGGCAGATATATACAATGGAACATGTCTCAGCCTTAAAGAGGAATGAATGAAATTCTGACACCTGCTCCAACATGGATGCACCCTTGCAAACAATATGAAAGAAGCCAGACACAGGACAAATGTTGTATGATTCTGCTTATTATCAGCTAATATAGGCACATTTATTGAGACCGAAAATAGAATGGTGGTGCTGGGATCTAGGGACGGGGAGTGGGGAGCTATTGTGTAACTGTGCAAAGTTTCTATTTGGGGTGGTGACAAGTACTGGAAATAGATGGTGATGGTTACACAACATAGTGAATATAATTAGTGCCACTGAATTGTACCCTCTAACATGGTAAACGTGGAAAGTTTTATTTTGCAGAGATTTTACCACAAAAATACACAGAGATTGAGAAGTACTTATCTCCTGAAAGTGCTGTCATTGTGGAGACCACGGTGAATATAAGAAATAACAAATAAAATTCTAACATGTAATATATTGAGAAATGTTTAAGTAATATTCTTGTATCCCTGGCCGGTTTGGCTCAGCGGTTAGAGCATCAGCCTGCGGTCCAGAGAGACCCGGGTTCAGTTCCCGCTAACGGCATGTACTTCAGTTGCAGTTTGTTCCCGGCCCTGGTTGGGTCGTACGGGTGGCAGCCACTCGATGTGTCCCTTTTACATTGATGTTTCTCTCTGTCTCTTCCTCTCTCTCCCTCCCACTCTGTCTCAAAAAAAAAATGGAAAACTGTCCTCGGTGAGGATTAAAAAGAAATTAAAAAAAAAAAAAAAAGGAATATTCTTGTAGAAGAAGGGGCCTGCGATGCATTCGGTAACTTTTCTGTATCTGAGTGTGTGAGGAGGTGATGTCTGAAGAAAGATTGAGCGCAAGGAGGAAGCAGGCTGTGTCTTTAGGAGGAAGGTTCCCACGGAGAGAAAAATGGGGGAACACTGAATTTGTCACTCTGAACCCTACCAGGTGGATGAGGATCTATCTAACCACTGTATCCTGATACCCACTCCACACAGCTCTGTAGAGCAAGGAGGTGCTGGATGACTCCATCCTGAGCCCCATTCAGGAGTAAGCCTTGACCTCTGGTCCCCAGATCTCTTCCTGATTCTATCTCATTGGGTGGAGGTCAAGTGAGGAGATAGATAAAAATATTAGTATTAATTTGTCTTACACTCTCTGTAGTATTTCATTTCTGTGTGCTTACTTTAATGTGGCTCTAATAAGCCCATAATTCAACCCTATAATATATTGTTATAAGTCTCATAATATATTATTTTTGAACAGTTTTAAAGTGATTTTTAATTAGAAAAAGCAACTCTTTTATATTTATCCACATATTAACACGTTCACTTGCTCTTTCTCTTTTGCTGTTAACTCAGGTTTATTTATAGCATCAGTTTCCCTTTTTCTGGTTACATTGAAAATCGACATACATCCGTGTGTATGTTTAAGGCGAACGTTATGATAGTTTTATTTACAGATATTGTGAAATGATTATCACACTGGGTTCAGATACCATCCATCTTCTTCTCTAGATGCAATGAAAAGTAAAGGCAGAAAAAAGGAAAAAATATTCCCTTGCTGATGTGAACTCAGAATGTACTCTCTTAAAAACATTCCTACCACCCTGGCCGGTTTGGCTCAGAGGTTAGAGCATCGGCCTGCGGTCTGGAGAGACCCTGGTTCAGTTCCCATTAAGGGCATGTACCTCGGTTGCAGTTTGTCCCCGGCCCTGGTTGGGTCGTGTGGGTGGCAACCACTTGATGTGTCCCTTTCACGTCGATGTTTCGCTCTCTCCCTCCCACTCTATATCGAAAAATGTTCTCAGGTGAGGATAAAAAAAAAACACCCAAAAACATTCTTACCTAGCCCAGCCGATGTGGCTCAGTGGTTAAGCATTGACCTATGCACCAAGAGGTTGCCTGTTTGATTCTTGGTCAGGGCACATGCCCAGGTTATGGGCCAGATTCCCAGTGGGGGCATGCAGGAGGCGGCCAACTGATGTTTCTATGTCTCTCCCTCTCCCTTCCTCTCTCTCTCTAAAATAATTAAAAACGTATGTTTTAAAAAATAATGGAGTGAAAAGACAGGAGGCTGAAGAAGTCAACAGGAATCAGATCCCAGAAAACCTAAGGTTGTAGCATGAAACACTGGTGTTTACTTTTGGAAAATGAATACTTCACACTGAGTGTCAATACCCACCAGTAAGTAGCAATTGTAATTGACCACAAAGTGCAGAGCTTGCGAATTTTTTGCTTTACCGGAAATGAGAGTGAATTGGGTTATCCTACTGTAGTATTTGGCTCACTGGTGTTCTTGCCCCTAATGCACTATCTTGATTTAAAGACAAAAGGATGAAGGCCCAGCAGCTCAGAGCTCCTGCAGATTACATGACCCCAACCCAACTACGCAGAGCAAAGATGTGACCTGGACAAATCCACATATTACAGACTGTATCTCCCCTCAAAACCATATACTAAAACCTAAAACTCATTTTTTTTTAAATCCTTACCCCAGAACATTTTCCCATTTTTTGTTCAGATAGAGTGGGAGGGAGAGAGAGGAAGAGAGAGAGAGAGAGAGAGAGAGAGAGAGAGAGAGAGAAACATCGACGTGAAAGGGACACATCGAGTGGTTGCCACCTGCACGACCAACCAGGGCTGGGGACAAACTGTAACCGAGGTACGCGCCCCTAGCGGAACCGAACTTGGGTCTCTCTGGACTGCAGGCCGACACTCTCACCACTGAGCCAAATCGGCCAGGGCTAAAACTCATTGTTTTAATATTAGGAGCGGGGCCTTTGGGAGGTGATTAGGTCATGAGGGTGAAGCCTTATTAGGTCATGAGGGTGAAGAATGGTAGCCTTATTAAAGAGACCCCACAGTACACCCTTGCCCCTTCCACCATGTGAGGACACAATGAGAAGACAGTATCTATGAACTAGAAAGTGGGCTCTCACAGGTGCAGAATCTGCCCGCACCTTGACCCTGGACCTCCATCCTCCAGAGCTGTGACAAATGAATGTTTGCTCGTTAAGCCAACCGGTCTGTGGAATTCCATGATAGCCAGGGAGGACTCAGACACCCCAGGAAGGGATTTCTGTGTTTTTATTTTTTTATGCTCACTGGAGGCATTTTTGCATCTATTTTCAGATAGAAGCGGGAGGGAAAGAGGGAGAAACATCTATGTGAGAGCCAGGGACAAACTGCAACCGAGGTACCTGCCCTTAGCGGGAACCGAACCCGGGTCTCTCTGGTCCGCAGGCCGACGCTCTAACCGCTGAGCCAACCCGGCCAGGGCAGGAAGCGATTTCTTAAGTGGACGTCACATGGTGAGTGCACCTGGGTGGATGTCGCTTCAGAATGGCGCTGAGAGAGTGGGACGATATTGTAGTGTTTTAAATTTGGAGGAGGTGGGTCTGCTGGGGTCCGAGTGAGGTGGTGGTGGTGACAGCATTGGTGCTTGTATACTCCCCCTGGCGCAGACTCGGTTCTATGGAGGTGCAATGGCAGGGGCACAGTCATCATTTGTAGATGCAGCAAGAATGAAGGCCGTGTTTTGGGGAGAGCAATATTTGCAAACGTCCAGGACCTGGGAAAGGGCTATGCACGCTCCAGTACCGTGATCTACCTGGGCCTGGTGCCTAGGGCTCCTCCAGGGTCTGTCTGTGCTGGTGGAGTGCAGCGCCCCCTGGAGGCAGCCCAGGGTGTTAAGGAAGGAGGCACTTTTTCTGCAGACTGTAGAGCATATGCATAGTGTCACCAACTAGACTAAGGTGGCAGCTCCAGGTGATATGGGAGCCAGACTGTAGTGCTCCAAAAAGGGACCGGTGACCGAGCATGTCAAATGCTGCTGACGGGGTGGCATCCACTTAAACTGAGGACAGAAATGGGTGTTAGTCCTCTGAGGTCTTGGGTGATTTTGGCGGGATGAGTTTGAGGGATGTGGGGATGTCCCGAGGTTGGACGAGGCTGGACGGGGCGACGGTCCACAAAGAAGGACTGACTCCTGAAGAATTTTTCCTGTGAAGAGAAGAAAAGAGGAGTCTCAGTGTTGCCGAGAAAGGGCAGGAGGAATGGATGGTCTCAGGACCAGCTCCAGGCACGTCTTGGCAGCTGCCTCTGGAAGGGTAAAGGTCAGCCCACAGGCGGGGTCACTGAGGGGTGCCCAGACCCCACTCTTTTTCAGCGTCTCTCTGGCAATGTGGCTGTGGACACAGAGCGGCCAAGCCATCCCAGCCTGGTACTGGAGTCCTCCCCAACCCCAACCTTAGGGATTCTTTGAGATTCAAAGGGTGATCTAACCCCAAGGGTGGTCTACACTCTGAGGTGGAGTCTGAGGTCTTGGGACAACCTGGAGGACCCGGGGGGCAGGCACTGGCATTTTTCAGCCCTGGGGTGACTGAGGGTCTTTTCTTCCTTATCTAGCTCAAGGGGCAGCATCAAATAGTGGTGTGGAGAAGCCACCTAAGGACCATGAGGTTGCCATTCTCCTTCGTGCCACAGAAGTGTGAAAATTCTCAAAGGCAGAGGTGGGGCTGGGCCTAAGCTGAGCGGGGGTGGGGGTGGGGGGGTGGGGGGGAGGCTCAGTTCTCAGCCCTTTCAAGGCCATTCTCCCAGCAGGACCAGGCTTCCCCCCCCCCCTCGCTCCTCCCTGTAGAGGCCCCTCCTCTGTGAGCTCCCCTGGGAGAAGTGAACCTGGCTCACTTTTTAAAAGCCCAGGTTGGCCCTGGCTGGTTTGGCTCGGTGGTTAGGGTGTCGGTCCACGGACCAATGAGTCGCAGGTTCAAGTCTGATCAAGGGCGTGTACCTCAGTTGCAGTTTGTCCCTGGCCCTGGTTGGGGTTGTGTGGGAAGTAACCAGTCGATGTGTCTCTCTCACATCGATGTTTCTCTCTCTCTTTCTCTCCCTCTCGCTCTATTTGAAGATAAAGAGAAAAATGTCCTCGGGTGAGGATTAAAAAAAAAAAAAAAAAAGCCCAGGTTGGCAGTGGGGACCTGGGGATCACAGCGAGGAGGAAAGAGGAAGGTGGATGTTTTGAACTGAATTGTGCTCCTCATCGAACTCATATGTTGACGTCTTAAACCCCAGTAACTAAGAATGCGACTGTATTTGGAGATCGGACCTTTCAGGAAGTAATTCAGTTCAAATAAGATCATAGAGTGGGCCCAAGTCTAAGAGCACTGGTGTCCTTATAAAAAGAGAAAGTTAGGACACAGACACACAGACCCCATGTGAGGACACAGGGAGATGACTGCCATCTACAGGCCAAGGAGGGAGGCCTCAGAAGAAACCAACCATGCCCTGGCTGGTGTGGCTCAGTGGGTGAGCGTCGTCCCACGCACCAAGGGGTCGAAGGTTCCATTCCCAGTCAGGGCACGTGCCCTGGTTGCAGGCTTGATCCCCAGGAGGGGGCGTGCAGGAGGCAGCTGATCCATGTTTTCTCTCTTCCTCTCCCTTCCTCTCTCTCTCAAATCAATAAAAATATATTTTAAAAAAGAAAAGAAGAGAAACCAAACCATGGTGACACCTTGTTCTTGTCCTTCCACCTCCCAGATTCTGAGACTCTACATTTCTGTTGTTTAAGCTGCCCAGTCAGTGGTGTTATGAGAGCCAGAGTGGGGTCCTACAGTGGACATGTGAGCAGGACAGGAGGAGCTAGATGTCACCTGCTCTAGGACCCTTGTCCTAACTTCACTGGGAAGAAGGAACCCCTCCTTCCCCAGGCCCATCACGAACATTCATCCTAGTACGGGGCGGGTGGGGGGGGGAGGTTAGCAGGACATATATGAGCACGTTAGTACTTTGCTGTTTCTAAGGATCTCTGTTTACCAAACCGGATCCCCTTGAAGTCAGACACTGTGTCTGATTTACCTCCACGTCCCTGGTATGCCGCATGACACCTGCCACACACGAGGTCCCAGGAAGTGAGGTTGAATGGACCAGCACAGTGTATTTACACAAACAAAACAGAGTCATTCTAAGAAGAGCCGGGAGCCCTGACCAGTTTGGCTCAGCGGTTGGAGCGTCGGCCTGTGGTCCAGAGAGACCCAGGTTCGGTTCCCGCTAAGGGCACGTACCTCGGTTGCGGTTTGTCCCCGGCCCTGGTTGGTTGTGCGGGTGGAGGCCACTCGTGTTCCTTTCGCGTCGATGTTTCTCTCTCTCTCTCCCTCCCACTCTATCTGAACAAAAAATGGAAAAAAATGTCCTCGGGTGAGGATAAAAAAAAAGAAAAAAGAGCCAGGAAAGGGAGACCACATGTCGATGAGTTTACCCCACTCACTTCACGTCTCCCGTGCCCTTTATATCGCCGGCAACTCCTGAGCCATCGGCCTCACCTGTGGGTGCAAATGTTCTTATCACGACAGTTGTTAGAAGTAAGTGCCACCCAACTGTGTGACAGAAGAAGAAAAGATGGGAAGTGAACCCAGGTCTTGTGGGTGAGCCCTCCCAGGGGACGAGGGTCAGTGAGCTCACCACGGAAAATGATGGGGTGGCCCTGAGACCAGCCTACAGTTGTCAGATTCAGCAAATAAAAACAGAAGGCAGCCCTGGCCGCTTTGGCTCAGCGGTAGAGCGTTGGCCCGCGGACCAATGAGTCATGGGTTCGATTCCTCCAAGGGCACGTGCCTCGGTTGCGGTTCGTCCCCGGCCCTGGTGGGGTTGTGCGGGAGGCAGCCAGTCGATGTGTCTCTCTCACATCGATGCTTCTGTCTCTCTCTCCCTCCCATTCTGTCTGAAGATAAACAGAAAAATATCGTCGCGTGGGGAATAAAAAGAAAAAAAAACACAACAAAACAGAACCAAAGGCGCCCGGTTAAATTTCAGATGTAAACAACATACCATTTTTGTATGAGTATGTCTTGTGTAATATTTGGGACACACTTATACTTTAAAAAAATGATTCCTTGTTTATCTCAAAGTGGAATTTACTGGGCAGCCTGCATTTTATGTGGCAAGAAGAGACGGTTCCCCACCCCCATGAACTTAGTCTCCTCTGCCCCCGGCTCCATCACTGTAAGAAGGGCTTACTGTGAACTTTCACTTCTGCTACTGAAATGACCCAGGATCCCGCAGGGGAGCCCCCATCTTCCACCCACCCACAGTCAGGCTCCAGGGCTAGACACATGCCTTCCCCTCCCTCCCACAGAGGGGACTCTGGAAGGACCAGTTCAGTGAGCCCAAAGCCAGCCGGCCCTCCCACTCCACCCAGGAAAGACAGAGTCCAACTGGGCAAGGTGGGGACTGGGGAGAAAGGGACAGTCCCATGAGTCTCAGATGAGAAGCTCATTTCATATGCATCAGTCCCCCAGGCCCAGCTTCCGGCCTGCCCACCCCTGGCTTCCTCTTTTGTCCCTGCCCAGCGTCTCCTCTGGGGGAAAGAACCCGTCTCAGGGCATGTCCCAGTGTCTCCTGGGCAGAGATGCTTCTGACGCTGCTCTTCGCGGTGCACTGGGGCAGTCGGTGTTCCGCAGGATGGTTTAACTCAGGGAAATCCGAAGAGCCACAGGCTGAAGAAAAAGAATTCAGCCTTCAGATGGAGGAGGTTGTCACAGTGCAGCTGGGCCAGTGTGCGCTGGTGCCCTGCTCCTTCTCCTACCCCCAGGAAGGCTACCCTGGGAATACTCCAGCTTACGGCTACTGGTTCAGAGAAAAAACCCACGTGACAGGCTTTCCAGTGGCCACCAACGACCAGTCTCGAAAGGTCCAAGAATGGAACCGTGGCCGATTCCAGCTCCTGGGCAGCCCCTGGAGTCTTAGCTGCTCCTTGCTGATCACAGAGGCACGGGCGACAGACAAAGGATGGTATTTTTTTCGGGTCCAGGCAGGCACTTCCAAGCAATATAGTTTCATAAAAAATAAGCTCTATCTGAATGTGACAGGTATGGAACGGGCTGGAATAGGGTGGGACCTGCCCCAGTCACTCCCTGTCTTCCCTGCTGGGAGGGGCTGTGGGGCATGGGTCAAGGTCACCCCCGAAGTACCCCATCTGGGGCTACACTTGTGTCCTCTCTCCTCCTAGCTCTGACACAGAAGCCAGCTATCTACGTCCCAGAGACCCTGGATCCCGGGCGCCAGGCGACCGCCGTCTGTGTGTTTGACTTTAACTTCTTTAAACAATGTCAAGCCCCTACTTTCTCCTGGACGGGAGCCGCTCTGTCCCCGCAAGAAAGCAGCGTGACAACCGCCCACGTCTCAGTTCTCACGTTCACGCCGAGACCGCAGGATCACGACACCGAACTCACCTGTCGAGTGGGCTTCTCCAGAAGGAGTGTGGGCATTGAATACAGTGTCCGGCTTAATGTGGCCTGTGAGTTTGGTGAGGGGCACCGGGGTGGCCGGCCAACAAAGCCTGGTGGGTGGGGAGGTGGACATGTGGCTGGCGGTGGTGGCTCTCAGGGGTGGCGTCCATGAGAGGAAGGTATAGTCCTGAGACAGGAGGAGAGGGGAAGCGATGCCCTCTGGTCCTCCATCCACAAGCATGTCTCTGCCACTCCTTCGTCACACCTGTTCCTGGAGTGGGTTCTCTCTGGCTGTGGGAAACCGAATGTCCCTCCCCAAGGCCAGCTCACAATCTGGTTGCAGATGCCCCCAAAGTGCCAGTCATCAGCGTTTCCCAAGGCAGAGGCTCAGGTACTGAGGGCCTGCGGGGTGGGCTGGGGTGGGGCCGGAGCTGGTCGGGAGTGTGGGGAAAATTGTGTTCCTTCACTCCCTCTCTTCCTCTCCCTCCATCCCCTCCGGCAGCCCTGGAGCCCCATGAAGACAGCCCTCGTCTGGAAGCCCAGAAAGGCCAGTTCCTGCGGCTGCTCTGTGCTGCTGAGAGCAGGCCCCCTGCCACCCTGAGCTGGGCCCTGGAAGGCAGAACCCTTTCCCGGCCCCGCCTCTCGGGCTCAGGAGGCTTGGAGCTGGTACTGTCCAGCGTGCAGCCCGGGGACGAGGGGCACTACTCCTGCCGAGCGGAGAACAGGCTTGGCTTCCAAATCCGCACCCTGGACCTCTCTGTGCGCTGTGAGTGTGAACAGCAGGGCCTGGTTTCTGGGAGGCAAGAGGGGCAGGGGCAGGGGCTGGGGACAGAGTCCCAGAGGTCAAAGGAACCTGGAACCCAGGCCGATGGGACTGATAATCCTGATTCCAATGCTGATGTAGGCATTTTTCTCTGCAGCACCGAGCAATTCTCTGACACCATCTGGGTGTCCTACAGTTCAACTCAATTCTGACACTGTGTACCCAGAGATACAGATCCCACGAGTTCAGGGCTCAGTCCCACGAGACTGCCCTCTTTAGACACCGGAAGCAAGTCTAGATTGTCACCTATGCTTCTGACTTAGATCAGAGGCCACAGATGGAAGGTTCCCATGACCCTTTCCTCAGGTTCAATTAATTTGCTAGATAGAGCAGCTCCCAGAACTCAGAGAAACATGTCACTCACCAGATGGCCGATTTGTTATGAAAGGATATGACTCAGGAACAGCCAATCGGAAGAGATGCACAGGGCCAGGTACAGGGAAGGGCAAGACCCTCCCCAAATCTCCACATGTTCACCAACCCTGAAGAAATTCTCTCAACCCCTTCCTTTTGGGTTTTTAAGTAGGCTTCATTACATAGTCATAATTGACTAAATCCTTGGCTATTGATGATTGAACTCAACCTCCAGCCCTCCCACTTTGGGAGGTCAGGAGGTGGGACTGAAAATCTCAACCCTCCAATGGCTTACTTGGTTTCCCTGGCAACCAGCGCCCATCCTTAAGTGCTCTCCAAAAGTCACCTCATTAATCTAACCTCAGTTATAGTGGCAACGGGTTTGTTATGAATGTCAGGACACTTCTATCACTGTCATCATGTAGAAACCTGAGCCAGGAACAGGGACCAAGACCAAATATTTATCTCTTATTATGAATTCTTCTTACCCTTCTGTTTCCCTGGGTAGTTTGTCAGTGGTGAGTCATTCAGTGGGTGCATCAATCCTCCTCCTCCGGCTGCCGCTGTCATTTATCCCCAGGGACCCTTTGCCCAGAGGGACGCCCCGGCCCCTCTGGAGCTGGCACTTTGTCTGTTTCAGATGCCCCTGAGAACCTGACAGTGACGGCCTCCCGAGCAAACAGGACAGGTAGGAGCCTGGGCCTCTCAGTGCCAACCTGGGGCCCTGGCATCTGGAATGTGCGCATGCGCGAGGGTTCCTGCATCCTCAGCTCTGCGTCTGTCCTGCCTCTTCCTTCCCCTAGTCCTGGAAAACCTCAGGAATGGTGCTTCCTTCCCAGTCCTGGAGGGCCAAAGCCTGCGTCTGCTCTGTGTGGCCCACAGCAACCCCCCAGCCTCGCTGAGCTGGACCCGTGGGGGGCTAACCCTGAGCCCCTCCCAGCCCTCAAACCCTGGGGTCCTGGAGCTGCCTCGGATTGGAATGGAGCATGAAGGAGAATTCATTTGCCGAGCTCAGAACCCGCTGGGCTCCCTCAGCGTCTCTCTCTACCTCTCTGTGCAGTGTGAGTGGGGAGATGGGGGCATCTGGGAGCAGGACACCGGGGTCCTGGGAGTTTGGAGGCACCGCTGACCCTTCCCCTCGCGCCCCACAGACCCCCCACAGCTGCTGGGACCCTCCTGCTCCTGGGAGGACCAGGGTCTGCTCTGCCGCTGCTCCTCCGGGGCCCAGCCGGCCCCCTCCGTGCGCTGGCGGCTGGGGGAGGGGCTGCTGGAGGGGAACCACAGCAATGCCTCCTGCACGGTCACCTCCCGCTCAGCCGGGCCCTGGGCCAACAGCTCCCTGAGCCTCAGCGGGGACCTCAGCGCGGAGCTCAGCGCAGGCCTCAGGATCAGCTGCGAGGCCAGGAATGTCCACGGGGCCCTGAGCACCGCCGCTGTCCTGCTGCTGCCAGGTCAGGGGCCTGCAGGGTGCCCCATGGAGGCGGGACCTGAGTGGGGTAGGGGCGGGGTCCTGCGGTGGAGCAGGAACTGGGCGGGCACCCCCTGCACCTGTGGCTGGGAGTTCAGAGTGGAAAATGCAAAGCCTGGGCTTGGGGTGCATCAGGTGTTAAGCAAAGAGGCTGAAAGGGATTGCGGGAAGAGGTCTGGAGTGGGAGCTGGAAGTCCGAGGGCCGGGTGGGTGGGCGGGACCACCCACGTGGATGGGCTCAGAGACGTCTGACCGGTTCCACGTGCAGAAAAGACAGACCTCATGTTAAACGGCTTCGCTAACGGACTAGTTCTGGGCACTGGCGTCACCCTCCTCTTCCTCTGCCTCATCCTGGTCACGTGAGTTAGGAGCTGGAGAAGGGCGTCTGGGGACAGGGGCAGGGCAGGTGCCAGGGCGCACACCGAGGCCTCTGTTTCCTCAGCATGAAGATTCTGAGGACGACTCAGGTCCAGGCGGAGACTCCGGCCCAGGCGAGGACTCAGGCTCAGGCGAGGACTCCGGCCCAGGTGGGGACTCAGGCCCAGGCGGAGACTAAGAGGCCCAGGCGCGCAAAGAGGAGCTCCATGCTGGATTACATCAACGTGGTCCCTAACGCTGGTGGCCTGGTGAGTGGCCAGGACGTGCTGCCCGTTTCTCGCCTTCTCCCTGTCCTTGGCCTCAGGGACATCAAGGTGGAAAACGCATGGTTGTTGGACTCAAATCCGGACTCTGACACGTACTACCTATGAGACCTTGACCGAAATCACCAGCTCCCTCTGGGCCCCCACGTTTTCCTCCTTTCCTTTGAGAGTTGGTTTGAGGGGTAAAACACATGCTCTTGCCCGGTATGTGGCAGCTATGCCATTATTACCACCCCCAAGGACATTACTAATTATAATGAATGATGTAACCATCATTAGCATCACTGAGAGGCAGTGTGTCCTGGTGACTAACAGCCTAGGTTCAAACCCTCGTTCATCGCTGTGTGTTCTTAGGTAAGCCACTTAATTTCTCTGAGCCTTTTCTTGAACTTTAAAGTGGTACGAAATAGTAGTACCTACTACCTAGGATTGTTCCAGGTGTTCAATAGTCTCCTATTGTACCTGTTAAACATTTAGAATAGTACCTGGCAGTTAGTGTTTGGAAAATGCTAAATATTTTCAGGAGAAAACATCTGTCTGCTGATGACTTTAAAATTCACATCTCCCAGACTCACCCCCGAACCCTAGACTCACCCCCGAACTCCAGATTCTTGTCCAGCTCTCTAAGCAGCATCTCCATGTGGATGTCTGGCAGGCATCTTAAACTTAACCTGTCCCGAGTTTGCATTTCCTCCATCCTCCGCATCACAGAAAATAGCACATTTCCCAGCTGCTCAAGCCTAAAGCCTCAGTCATCTCTCATGCCCCTCTTCTCTATTAACCCCAATCAATCCATCAGCAAATCTCCTTCAAAACACATTTAAACCACTTCTCCTATCTCCCTCGTCCATGCAGCAGGACACCACTGCCTCCTTCTGTGGGTCCTCTCTGCTCCCCCCGCCCCCAATCTATTTCTCTGTGCATCATATCCATTTAAAACCCAAATAGACCCGGCTGGTGCGGCTCAGTGGATTGAGCATCGTCCTATGTACCGAGAGGTCACTGGTTCGACTCTCAGTCAAGGCACATGCCTAAGTTTCAATCTTGATCCTCAGTAGGGGTCATGTAGGAGGCAGCTGATCACACTGATGTTCCTATCTCTCCCTCCACATATCTCTCTCTCTAAAAAATAAAAATAAAGACAATTATATAGTTTTTGTTAATCCTCACCCAAGGAAATTTTTTTTCCATTTAATTTTAGAGAGAGTGAAAGGGAGGAGGGGGAGAGAGAGAAACAGCGATGTGAGAGAAACATCAATAGGTTGACTCCCTCATGCACCCTGACCAGGGATCAAACCCACAACCTAGGTGTGTGCCCTAGCCAGGAATTGAACCTGCAACGTTTTGGGATATGAGATGATGCTCCAATCAACTGAGCCACCTGGCCAGGGCCATTCTGCCTCTTGATGGTGGTTGTAGGAGTCTACCTGTATTAATTAGTCTGCTAGGGTGGCCACAGTGAAGAGCCACAGACTGAGTGGCTTAAACAACAGACAGTTGTTCATTGTTTCTCTCCCAAGATGGAATGTGAGCTCAGTGACAATGGAGACAATGTTTCACTCCCTGATGTAACCCTCGTTCCTCCATCACATGGTACCCACTCAAGTATTTGCTGAATGAATGACTGTCGTTTTCCCCTTAGGCTCAGAACCGAAAGGCTAAACCCAGCCATCTTTCCAAGACCTCTCCTGAAGATGCTAACTCCCCAGGACTCAAATTGTCCCCTTCGGCTCCAGAATCAAGGGACAACGAAGAGGAGCTCCATTATACTACCCTCAGCTTCCCAGGCCTCTGGCCACAGCCGGCCCAGGAGTCCAAGGACACCAACTCGGAATATGCAGAAGTCAATTTCCACTGATGGTCCACTGGGCTGTGGAATGGGGATCCGGCTGGGGAGAAAGGCGGAGTCATTGAGAGGGTAAAGAGAAGAGGGCAAAGCCTCTCTCTCCTCTTTTTACTCCTCCAAGGATGGGTCACCCCATCCCAGACCTGACATTCACAACTGCTTGATCACTCTCTCCAGAGTGACCTTCTCTGAGAACAAGGATAAACTTTCATCTGATAAACCCAGGCAACTCCCCCCCCCCCAGCTGATTACTCCTAGTCTCACTTTTCTTCAAGGTGGGAGGCCCTTTAAAAAAGGTTAAACAGTCATCTCTGCGAGGTCAGCTGTCAAACCTCACAGGTCAAGCCTGGCCCGATGCCTATTTTCATGCTACCCGAGAGCCAAGAACTTTACGTTTTTAATAATTGAGGGCTGGCAAGGGAGAATCAAGAGAAGGAGAATGTTTTGTGATTCATGAAAATATGAGATTCAAATGTCAGTGTCCATTAATAAAGCGTTGTAATTGCTTCACGGACAGGTGAAGTTTGCGGGTCTTAATCTAAATTAAACTCACCCACTTATTTTTACAGAAGAAGAAACAGAAGCAGAGACTCAGAAAGGGGTCAAGAGTAGCCGAGGCCAGCGTGACCAGCTGTGGAACTAGCTGGAAGGTTTCCAGGGTGAGGACATGCAAGGCAAGGAGGCGACGTGGAGGTTGGGGGTGAACGCATTGTCAGCTTGAAAATCTAGGGAAGAGCAAACACTCGGGGGCACGGGAGTGGGGATGCTGGCAAAATGGAATGAGGACCAAGCTGGCAACCTGCTCTGAACCCACCAGCTGGTGAACAAATAGGAAGAAGAGTCCATCTCTCACTGCAAAGCATGTCCCTTCCCTTCGTCCTTACCCAGAGGTCACAGTTGTAATTGCTTCATGGATAGTCCTCTTGGGAGATGATTACTAGTCAGGCAGACAACTGGGAAGCCCAGAAAGGATGCTGGCCTTTGCATTAGAAAGAAAGGAAGAAAGGAAGAAAGGAAGAAAGAAAGAAAGAAAGAAAGAAAGAAAGAAAGAAAGAAAGAAAAAAAGGAAGGAAGGAAGGAAGGAAGGAAGGAAGGAAGGAAGGGAGGGAGGAAGGGAGGGAAGGAAGGAAGGAAGGAAGGAAGGAAGGAAGGAAAGGAAGGAAGGGAGGGAGGGAGGGAGGGAGGGAGGGAGAGAGGGAGGGGAGGGAAGAAGAAAGAAAGAAAGAAAGAAAGAAAGAGAGAGAGAGAGAGGGAGGAAGGAAGGAAGGAAGGAAGGGAGGGAGGGAGGGAAGAAGAAAGGAAGGAAGGAAGGAAGGAAGGGAGGAAGGAAGAGAAGGGAAGGAAGGAAGGAAGGAAGGAAAAGAAGGGAAGGAAGGAAGGGAGGGAGAGAGGGAGGGAGGGAAGAAGAAAGAAAGAAAGAAAGAAAGAAAGAAAGAAAGAAAGAGAGGGAGGGAGGGAGGGAGGAAGGAAGGAAGGAAGGAAAGGGAGGGAGGGAGGAAAAGAAGGGAAGGAAGGAAGGAAGGGAGGGAGAGAGGGAGGGAGGGAAGAAGAAAGAAAGAAAGAAAGAAAGAAAGAAAGAAAGAAAGAAAGAAAGAGAGGGAGGGAGGGAGGGAGGAAGGAAGGAATGGGAGGGAGGGAGGAAAAGAAGGGAAGGAAGGAAGGAAGGGAGGGAGAGAGGGAGGGAGGGAAGAAGAAAGAAAGAAAGAAAGAAGAAAGAAAGAAAGAAAGAAAGAAAGAAAGAGAGGAAGGGAGGGAGGGAGGGAGGGAGGGAGGGAGGAAGGAAGGAAGGAAGGAAGGAAGGAAGGAAGGAAGGAAGGAAGGAAGGAAAGTGATGTTACACACTGGAAGACAGAGCGGGGGGGGGGGGGGAGCATGAATAAAGCAAACGAAGTTATAAGTAAAGCTGAGAAAATGAGTGAAAGCAGGTCAAACAGGGTTTTCTCCACTCACAAACTACATAAGTGGCAGTGTCACAATAAGAGGAAGGAAGGAGTGAGGAAAGAAATCCCTATTTTTTGCCCAGCCAGTGTGGCTCAGTGGTTGAGCGTCGACCCACACACCAAGAGGTCGCCGGTTCGATTCCTAGTCAGGGCACATGCCCAGGTTGTGGGCCCAACGGGGGGCATGCAGGAGGCGGCCAGTCAATGTTTCTATCTCTCCCTCTCCCTTCCTCTCTCTCTAACATCAATAAAGAAAAAAAAAAAGAAAGAAATTTCTATTTTTAAGCACTTCCTATGTATCTCATTGTGAGTCAGTTATTTATAGTTATCTCCTCCAACCACAACTGTGGTGCATGACAAAGTATCTCCATTGTGCAGATATCTGAAACTCACAGAGGTGAATTAATTCATCTGAGGCTACACTGGAGAGATGGGCTGACTGACTAAAACCACAGCTTTCCCCACCCCTCCTGGTGCTTCGCAAGCCCTCCTGAAGGGGGCGCTCCTGAGCAAAAAGGACTCAAACCTCAGGCCAGAACCCAGGCAGGGCGCTTGGCTTGGCTCTGGGGAGAAACTGACCTAGCTTGTAGTTAGCAGGATCAAGATGGGAGGGGGGCTAGGGGGATGGGCAAAAAAGTGTAAGAGATTAAGAAGTACAAATTGCGCCCTGGCCAGTTTGGCTCAGCGGTTGGAGCATCGGCCTGCGGACCAGAGAGTCCTGGGTTCGGTTCCCGCTAGGAGCACATACCAAAAAAAAAAAAAAAAAAGTACAAATGGCCAGTTATAAAACCAGTCATGGAGGTGCGAAGTACAGCACAGGAAGTACAGTCAATAATATTGTAATAACTATGGATGGTGCCAGGTGGGTACTAGACTTATAGGGGCATCAGTTTGTAAGGTATATAAATATCTAACCACTACATTGTACATCTGAAACGAATATAATATTGTCTGTCAACTGTAACTGAAAAGTAAAATTTTAAAAAGGAGGCTATTTAATTGGAACAATGGACATCTTTATCAAATTCAGTCAAGCCCTGGCCAGTTTGGCTCAGCGGTTAGAGCGTCGGCCTGCGGTCCAGAGAGACCCGGGTTTGATTCCCGCTAAGGGCACGTACCTCGGTTGCAGTTTGTCCCCGGCTCTGGTTGGTTGTGAGGGTGGCAGCCACTTGATGTGTCCCTTTCACGTCGATGTTTCTCTCTTTCTCTCTCTCTCCCCCCCCCCCCCATCCCACTCTGAACAAAAAATGAAAAACTGTCCTCGGGTGAGGATAATAAATAAATAAATCAAATTAAAAAATAAAATTCAGTCAATGTTTTACATGGTCTTTCCTCTCACTTATTGTGCCCTTTCAATTTTTTTCTCTATATGATGCTTTATAATCTTTTGTGTAGATGACATACATATTTTCGTTAGATTTCTTTTGAGGTATTTAATATCTTTTGTTTCTATTAAAAATGGCATATTTTGGGGGTGAGGGCTGGATGGAGGAGGCAAAGGGGGGAATGGGGACATCTGTAATAGTGTCAACAACAAAAATAAAGAAAACATGGCATGTTTCTTTCTATGTCATTTTTTGGTTGATTCTGGTGTATAGCAATATGCTTGAATTTTGCACGTTAACCTCGTCTCTATCAACCTTGAGAAGTTTGCCTATTTTATATAATTAATTTGTCAATTATTTTTTATTTCTCTTGTAAGAAAATTATATCATCTGATAATAAACATTTTACTTTTTTCTCCAAAGGGGAAAATAAGTGAATAAATAGATATTGAAAAGATGCTGAAGGCAAGATTTAGAAGGGAAGACATAATTTCAAAAGCTGACCACCTGGACTGAGGACAAAGCCATGAGCGGACAGTTAATGTTTCCCATAAGCAGTGGTGTGTGGCTGATGTCCTGGGTCATAGTGTCCTGAGTGAGAGAATAAGAGAGGATGTCCAGAGATAATAGCCACTTGAGCTAAACCCTCTCAAATTCCAGAGCTATTTATCTGTGACAATGTTTGTGATATTGACTAACACACACTGAGCTCTTAGCCCAGACACTGTTGTTTAATGCTTATATTTCCTCCTCTAATACTCACAGAAAGTTAAGGACATTTTGGGCCAAAGACCATCTTGCCAAGCCCTAACTGACTAGGAGCCTTGATTTGGTAGTTACCAGGTAACTGATGATATGGTGAGGAGGCCCACTCTGACACGTTTTGCTTCCCAATGTGCCAACACCTCTGGGTACTGAATAAAATTAAAAACTGGTCCTGGTGGGGTTGATCCATTGGCTGGAGCATTGTCCTGTGCACGAAAATGTTGCCGTTTGATTCCCAGTCAAGGCCACGTACCAAGGTTGCAGGTTCAATCTCTGGCCTCAGTTGGTGTGTGTGTGGGAAGCAACCAATCAGTGTGTCTCTCATGTCTATGTTTGTTATTTTTCTCTCTCTCCCTTCCTCCCTTCCAGTCTTTCTAAAAATCAATGGAAAAAAAAAATATCCTCGGGTGCCCTGGCCGGTTTGGCTCAGCGGTTGGAGCATTGGCCTGAGGACCAGATGGTCCTGAGTTTGGTTCTCGCTAGGGGCATGTACCCCCCGCCCCAATATCCTCAGGTGAGGATTAACATAAACAAACAAACAAACAAATAAATAAAAACCTATCCATGGTGAGGATTTTTAAAAAAATTTAAAACGGAATGAGCTGCAAGGACTAAAGTTGACCCCCAGAAGCCAGGACACACACAGTGATGGAAGTACAGACTCATGGATGGGGTTACCCAGTGTACCCACCTCCTTTCATAGATGGGCTTAGAGAGGGCCAGGGTCTTGCCTAAGGTCTCGCTGCAAAATAGCAGAAGTGTGATCCAAACTCAGACAGGTCCTAAAGCACATGAACTGCAGGTCTTGAATTCTTTTCCATAAACTTAGAGTGGGGAAGATGCTAGAAGAGCGTGTGTTTCCCTCCCTCGACCTCCAGATCCTTCCAGGAGAGCAAGCCTTCAGTGTTTGTCTGACCCGATAAATTGCAAGATTATAAGGTTGCATTGCTAGGGCAACAGGTTTGACCAGGAGTCAGTAACTTTGAAATGTGTGTTAAGGTTTTGACTTATGAAATAATGACTTGGGACTTAGAGGGAAGGAGGGGTGTTGTTATCCAGCACTCTCAGGGAAAGGCAGTGTTGTGTAGATAAAAAAGACA